ATATATTTGTCAATATTTTCGTCAGTTCATCAGAACTCGTATCTAAGTAAACTCGCAGAGCTTTTTGTATATAATTATATCCAATATCTGTAAATGACATTAATGGGACATTAATGGGACACATTACATCTACCTATACATTTCACCACATGTGAAACGTAATTTCCATAGTGCAAAACTGTCTCATTCATAAAATATTACGATCACCAGAATATAAGTTTCACCAGAAGTAACAATGCTAAAAACATATATTTCTAGCAGTGTTACTGACAAATTATAGATTATCCCATTTAAAATTGCTGAAAATATTTGTTTCCAACAAATTAAATCAGAATAAATTAATCACATTTTATTTTTAACTTTGTTATTTTTTATAAAAAATATGATAACATGTTGATAACATTTGTTTTCAATATTTTACGGAAAACAAATATTATTGACAAAAATTACTTATTTTAGTAACATGCTGATAGCTTTGTGATCAATACTGTTAAAATTGTTAATATTCATCATCAATATTATATCAATATTATATTATTGTCATCAATGTTATCAATATTGTTAAAACATTATTTTTGCAACCCATTACTTGGTGATTTGAATCAAAGGATGTTGACAGTAAACGTTATTAGCAGAAAATTGAACTAGATATATGTTAGTAACACTACACACAAAAAATGAATCCCTGAATCAAATACGTTTTTACTCATAAACACTGCTTGCCCTCATTTGAGCATAAAACGTTTTCCTCAATTACAAATGTTCATCTGTCACTTACATCAATAATAAATAGGTTTGCACAGAATACATTTTATCCTCAAGATGGCATTCTTGTTTTTAAAATCATTATACGGTTATAACAAACTTAATCACATAATTTTAAAGTTATTTATTCTTGGATTAAGAATTACATATTCGAAAGTGCACTCCACTCATATTCGAAACTCACTTGTTTCGCATTATCCGGCAACAGCATGTATGGTATGAAGTGCTGGCATAACAAATTCGAAATGCACAACACGCAAATAGCAATAGAAGCGTAACGCACATAAGCAAGAACCAAGTACATATTTACTTATACATTGCACATATATACAAAGAAAGAATAACCTCAGTTAGATTAACGTGACATGTGGTTTGGTTAAACAAGATTCAGTTGAATTAAACAAAATTTCTAGTTATTATAATCACATATTCTAGTATTCAACGCTCTGATTACAATATAGGTAGACAATATATAACGGATCTATCAATTGGTGAAGTGACGTAGTGCGTAAATAGATAATTCGCAATCCTAAGTTCAAATCCCATTAGGATATAAAAGGTTTTCCAGATATAACATAACATCAAATCAATTAAATTTCAAGCAAAATAATCATACTAATACATTAAAAAACAGTCTGGTTAATATATCCTAAATTCTGATTAATTCAATTAATTAAGTTTCCTTTCCGTCTATGGCTTTCGCGTCTCAATTTTTCTTACTTTTGTTTTAAAGATAATTTATTCTTAATCGAAGTTTGTTTATACTTGGCGCCATTCTAAGGATAAAATATTCTTGGAACGTATATTTTTTTAAGGATTCATTTTTTTTATTAATGTAACCAAAGGTTTTGTTTTCACTTGATTAATTATTTTGTTTTCACTTGATTAATTGTACTATAAAAATTGCCAAATTATTAATTTGTGTATAGCACATATATACTAATAAATATTATTAATCATTTAAAATTCCCTAACTTTTGTAAACTAACTTTTGAGAATATTACTTCTGTTAATAATATTGCTATTTTAGCAGTTTAATCGTGGTAAAATGATTTTTCTAACTGTCAGTGATATTTGTATTTTCTATACTGTTAAAAATATATTTTGTTAGAAATATTCAGTAAGTTGTTTTCTAGAGAACACAATTTTGCTAAAGACATTTTTTGTTATTAGCTTTTTGCTATTAACATTGTTACTACTACTTTTTCGGTATAAACCAGAGATAGAGAGATAGAGAAAGATAGCAGATTAATACAAAAATAAATAAAATTAAAAAGCGATTTTTAAACTATTCTCATGAATAAATAACATATGGATAATAACATATGGATAATAACATATAAATATTATGAACTGTTTCTAAACAAAATATAAATTTATCGCTTGAATATGTTTTATAGCATTAAAAAGTCTTTTTTCAATATATTTAACAGCGATGCAACATTAAAGTCTGCCCTATATACTAACCTAACAAGAGACGCGCTAAGGCACGTCGGAAAATGCTATTCTTGCGTCATTTTCACATTTAGTTTTCATGAAAAGAATGTGGAGCTAGTTTTGTTAACTTGGAGCGTATTGTATAGTTTTATTCTACGTGTGAATTAAATCTTTTACGATTTATTCGGGAATTATCGGGATCGCGCGACGTTCTAAAACTCGAAACTTCTAAACTCGATATTTCTTTAGATGTTATCACATCTTTGTGAAAGATGTGAAACTTCGTAAAAAAGATATCGATTTCTTGCAAGTATTTTTAAGTAAGTACACACTCTTCTTCAAAGAGGAGGGTGTTACATCCACTTCACGAGAACGATCTACGTCCTACCAAGCGCTCCAGAGTGAGTGAGCGAGCGAGAGAGAGAAAGAGAGGGAGAGAGAGAGAGAGAGAGAGAGAGAGAGAGAGAGAGAGAGAGAGAACGGAGTTATATGGAACGGGGTTAAATATAAGTATTAAAGTTAGGAGAGTCTATAAGTTCGAAGAAACGTGCGTGTGAACAACGCCAGTACCGATGATAGCGAGGTGCTTCGAACGCAATTCACCAACCACCCTCGGGTACCGACAATCAACGCTAATCGGCACCACGTGCAAGATATTTGCGGACGAGTGCATCGCGAGAATGTTCGCACGTACGCGATCTTTCCAGCCCAGAAGCTCATCATCAAAATTCTTCGCGATAAACTCTCCGCGCCGGTTGTGCGCGCGCAGTCTTTAAAAATGTTCCAATGTCATCAGCGTGAGCGAAGGACGATCGTTAATCGCCACTGATAAGCGTTTCGTTCTACGTGGCAGGTGAGATTCACGTCGCTCGGCTGGCTACGAACGAGACAAACGGGAAACCGTTTATGCTGCGATTTTATATGACGCGAGCAAAGCGCGCGGGATTGCAGTTCGTCCTCGACATTACGGACGACAGATACACGTCATCCTCTTTCTAAAAGAAAAAAAAATAGCGGGACAGCCGCGCGGAGGCGACTTCGACAATAACGATGACGATGACGACGACGACGACGACGACGAGAGTCGCATATTCCTGCAATCTCCGCAAACACAATATGATTCATTCGTCTATTTGTAAATACAACAATTACTCTTGCGTAACGACGACACCGCGGACGCTGCGGATCCGCGAAATGTCCATCCGTGCTTGAATGCTAACCGCGGTTGACCGATTCCGACGTCTGTTTGTCCATTACGACGATCGATGTATCATGTACAGAGAATCATACGACGATGCCAATTTGCAGCTCAGTACACGATGTGATTACATGTGAGGTAACATATTTTACCGAGGAAAAAGGAATAACACGTCGACCTGATCGAAAGCAGCTTAGTTAAGTCCACCGTTTCGTTACCTTATTCCGCATGTAAATGTATTCCCCACTACACCACCTCACGACAAATGCAAATTATTATTACGCAAGTCTGAAATACAAAACACGAACGATCGTCACGAAATGCATATTCAGATACAGAGATTATAACAGTCGGAGTGTAAGGATACGAAGAGAGTCCGAAGTGTCCAACAGCGGCGATTTACCATGAATGGTAAGTTAACGAGACTGCGAGATCCAGCTGGTGGTGTTGACGTGTCGCGAGTGAGAAGCAAGAAAAAGCAGGAAAACGAGGAAAAAACACCAGTGCAGTCGAAGGAGCAACGTAACGAAGCCACGGTTTCGCGGTCGAGAGAAAGAGCGAGGAAGGAAGAGAAAAGGGGAGAGAGAGCAAGAGAGAGAGAGAGAGAGAAAGAGAGAGAGAGAGAAAGAGGAAAGCGAGAGAGGAGAGCGAGAGAGACAAGCGCGATCAATCGTAGGTTGCCGACAAGGGAAAGCGATCCTCGCGGAGGAGCGAACTCCCACAACGGCTCTCTATCGCCGTCAACTCCAGCAGAAGCTGCTTGATTCTCGCGCGCCCAGTCAGCCGCGAGTTTGACAGTTCGCAGCAGCGGGGACCAGGCGACGGGGGTATCGGGACGCGAGAGGGAGCGGCGGGAACTGCGCTGAGGCGGCGAAGCCGCGACGCCGAGGTCCTCGTCGACGCCGGGCGCGCTTCGCGGACGCTCCGCTCCTCGCGCCAACCTGCCGATATCGATATGTGCGTGCTCCCGCATACTACTCACCAGGTGTAGCACGGTGTTGACGACCTCCCGATTGGACACCTGTCCCACCTCGATCAGGCCGATCAGCACGGCGAACTTGAGGCTGTCGTTCATCGCCATCGCCACCACTTCCTCGGGCCGCTTAATGTCACTGAAAGGCGGGCTCTTGAGGTCCGCCATCGCGACGTTTAACGCGAGACGCGCCGCGCGCGTCCACACCCGCGAGGAAACGAGTCTACGATCACTTCGCACGAGGTACTGTCCTATCAGCGGGAGCGTTTCGCTGTCACATGATAATACAACACAAGTTGATCTGCCATGTTAGAAAGCGGGCACTGTTGTGAGAGGCCTGCCAGCCACGCCGGCTCGAATGTTCCTAGACCGCTGTGCTCAGCACCCGCGTGCGCACCCGCCGAACACGCCGTGGCGCTGCCGAATCTCGTCGTCGGACGTCGACGCGACGGCGCTGAGCGCGCGCGATAGTACGCAGGCGTGTCGTCGTCGTCGTCATTGTCGTCGTCATCGTCATCGTTATCATCATCGTCGACATCGTCTAGGTTACACACATCATCGTCGTCGTCAAGTCAAGTCAAAAGTCTCTGTATACGTCTCGTCGCGTTCACAGTATTCGCAGTAAGAATGGCGACTGAGGATATTGACCGTGCAAAGGTATCGCGTGAATTTCTACGTTTGCACGCCAATTAGTCGTTTTGTTAACGCTATAGACAGTAATGTGGTAACAGTAGTTTTTACTATTTCATTGTGGACCAAGAAGATTTACCTATCCTGCCGTCATCGCAGGCGTCTCTCTCTCCTCCCCCTCCCCTCTCTCTTTTTCTCCTTCCCTTCCCCCCTCTCTCTCTAATTATCTATATACCCGCACAAATCGCTAGAAAGTTCATTTTCATTCAGTGCATTCACGCTTTTGCGAATCGTTGAAACACTGCTTCAACGTCATAAGATAATTAATATGTCTGTTTTAATTAACTACTCTAATTTTCTCTCGCCCCTTTTCTTAATATATCACTTTATTCGAGCACAAGTCTGACTAAAATAGTACATCCAACTGTACAAAATTATTTGTCATAAAATCAAGGGTGTTGGCTCTCCCTTGGGTCTTTGTGACTGTGTGTTCATATTAAGCATTCATACCTGCATTCCTTCCATCCATTTATGTACACAACTGTAACTTGTTACATTATTAGAATCATAATGACAATTACTCATTTCTGTTATCAGATGGAGTGTATGTTACGTACTCTAAAGTTAGCTGGTCATGTTGGATTTGATAGTCTACCCAGTCAATTGGTGAATAAGTCCGTGCAAAATGGATTCTTATTTAACATTCTCTGCATTGGTACGATAAATGTTAAATCTTTTATCTACATCTTTTAAGAATGTATCACCTATATAACCTTTGCAAGAAATCACTGAAAATTAGAAACACATTATTATTGTTTATTTTATGTTATTTCTGTCTTTTATAATAAACAAAGAAGTTTTGGACATAAATATATCTTGAAGAAAATATACTATAAATATTAAATATTAAGAAAATATATATATTATATACATATATTTTTTTGAAGCCATGTAAGTATGGTCATATATTCATGACTTTAATTTTAGCAAACTGTTATTAATTAAAAAAAGAATTAATTCTGGATCACAATAAAATTTACAAATATTTTGAATACTCAAGATGTATATATATACACACACACACACACATTTTTATTTTTGTCATTATTTTTGCTTTATTAAAGATAATATTACATATTTCTATAACAATATAGGTAAATATAATCCCAAGGAGCAAAATAATATCAAGTGACATTAATAAAGCATTAATGATATCTCTAACATGAATAAGATGTCATTAATATATCATTTATCTATATATGATATCTTATTTATTATAAGCTTATATTTAAAAGTGGAGTAACTTCTGATCCTTGTCTTAAATCATTGGATAAAATCATTGGTTCAGCAAAAAAGACTGTATTACAACTATTGTAAAATTTGTAAATCTAATTGGTGTATATTTTTCAGCCAAGATTAGAAACATATATTAATCAGATTCATAAATTACAATAGTTGCAAAGTGACTTTCTCCGTTGAATCATTGCAGCTATCATCAAATTGTTTGTGTCACTTTTAGATGTAATACAGATTAATCTGTAATCTTTTCACAATTTTTTTTTTATTATTTTCAAAATATGGGTAATACATTCTAAGCTAATACTCCAAAGTTCATAGTTAATCTTGATTTATTCCAATAGGTGAAACAGGACTTGGAAAATCCACACTCATGGATTCTCTCTTTAACACGAGCTTTGAATCTAGTCCCAGTCCTCATAATTTGCCATCTGTAAAACTCAAATCACATACTTATGAGTTGCAAGAAAGTAATGTTAGATTGAAGTTAACTATTGTCGACACAGTTGGTTATGGTGATCAAATCAACAAAGAGGATAGCTTTAAGGCTGTTGTCGATTATATAGATGCACAGTTTGAAGCATACTTGCAGGAAGAATTAAAGATCAAACGTTCACTATCGACTTATCACGATAGTCGTATACATGTTTGTCTTTATTTTATATGTCCCACTGGTCATGGGTGAGCATATATATCTTAATTTTACAAATTATACACTGATTATATGTGAATTATACAAGTTTCTCTAATTGTATTCCTAATACTTTCAGCTTAAAATCTATTGATTTAGTATGTATGAAGAAACTGGATACCAAAGTTAATATCATTCCAATTATTGCTAAGGCTGATACAATATCAAAGACTGAATTACAAAAGTTTAAAGTATGTATATTTAACTTTATGAAAATTATATATTTATATTATATTAACATGTATGTGTGTGTGTGTGTGTAATATGAAAATTTGATAGTATTTCCATTATCTCGGCGCAGCCGTTATTTACGATATGTAAACGCATCTTGTAACGGTAAATCTTTACATTTTAGACCAAAATCATATCTGAGTTGCAAAACAACGGGATACACATTTATCAGTTTCCGATTGATGATGAAAGTGTATCGGAGGTAAATAATACTATGAACATTCATGTGCCATTTGCTGTTGTCGGTAGTACCGATTTTGTTCGCGTAGGCAACAAAATGATGCGCTCCCGTCAATATCCGTGGGGTACAGTTCAAGGTACGACGATAAATCTAATTCCATAGTGTTGATGAATAGAAATTTATATATTGTATTATTGCTACAGTCGAAAACGAATCCCATTGCGACTTTGTGAAATTACGTGAAATGCTAATAAGCACGAACATGGAAGATATGCGCGAGAAAACGCACTGCCGCCATTACGAACTTTACCGAAAAAAAAGATTAGAGCAAGTACGTTTTACTGTTCATGGGAAAATTCACAAAATATATGTGTGTATTGTACACTTAATATTATATACATTATAAATTTCCAGATGGGCTTTAGTGATGTTGATAGCGACAACAAACCAGTAAGCTTCCAACAAACATGCGAAGCAAAGAGATCAATTCACTTACAAGAATTGCAGCAAAAAGAAGATGAAATGCGACAGATGTTTGTCGCCCGTGTGAAAGAAAAAGAAGCTGAGTTAAAAGAAGCGGAGAAAGAAGTAACGATACTTTGAATTTATATCAACAAAATCACTATGTCCATTATTGAATTAGAACATTAACGATATTTGTTGATTTTTAGCTGCATAGTAAATTTGACAAACTGAAGAAGGATCATACAGAAGAAAAGAAGAAACTAGAGGAAAGTCGTAAAAAACTTGAGGACGATATATTGGAATTTAGTAGACGAAAAGCGCAATTTGCGCAGCAACCCCAACACCACACGTTGACATTAGGCAAAAGCAAAAAGAAGTGAAAAGTATTTGACCAGAAAAATATCTTTTTATACCGTTCGAACATGACTATGCATTTTAATTGCATTATTCATTGAAAGTATTATTTTAATTATCTTATACATTATTATATATTATTCTATCTTATCTGTTTTTTATACTATTTTATTATAGTATTCAATTACCAAAAGTTTTTTCTGATCATGTGCGAAAAATAGCGCTTAAAGTCAAGTATGATTCGTATTAAGTAGAAATAATATCCATAAGAAGAGAATATTTAACCAAACTTATACCTTGCTTTATAATAACTTTATATGAAATATATATTTAGTATGTCAGCAAAAAGAAACTACTTTTCTCCAAACAATATGTCATTGATCAATAGTAATATTAGCTTTTACAATATTGATATTAGTAAATAACAAAATTATCTCATTTATATAAGGAAAAATGATATTGTCTAAGTGTTACAACAGTTTTTGGGTTAAAAAATATTTAATCATGTGTGTTAAATATTTTTAATAGTATCTCAATATTACATCATACGAAAAAAAGAAACATTTTCTCAACTATGATAAATAGGCAAAATTCCACGAACTGTAAATCTATAAAAATAACTAATAAGTAGATTTAGGACCTTTGTGTCGCTAAATTACTCTGTACTAATCTCCTCGTTTTAAACACTCCTTAGCAGTCAACCGCCTAGCAGTACCGTATATCAATGACATGTACATAGACCAATGGTCTATTCTTTTCAGCTGCATTGCTACACTGGTGCAATAAGCTAAAGTGAAATAAAATATATTTGTCTCATTCTAACTTATTGCACCAGTGCAACAGATAGCTGAAAAGAACAAACCTCAAGCATTCTGTCCACAAAGTAAAGCCAGAAGTTGGCAGTTTAAAACAGAGTGAGAAAGTTGATGTGCCTCTAGTGCTTTCTCACTCTATATTGACTGTTAAGAAGAAGGGTTCTTTTAACACTGCAAATACTTTAAAACGTTAAATAAAACAATGTGATTGATCCATTCGTCGCTCTGCACTTACAGTACTAAACAGAACTATTTATAGCACTAAACCTTATCCAAGAACTGTATCCCGTCATAGCAACCTAACCTTTTTCATGTGACAGTAGAATGAGAAAAGGATAAAAGCAATTGCTGTGATTATTTATATACAGCATAAAATATTATAAATATCAATTTTATGTCGAGATAAGTGAAATATACGGTTTCATTCTTTTAATTCTGCACTAAATTATATATATAGCACTTGACAGCGGCCATATTCTTTCTATACGATAGAATGAGAAAACACTAATGGCAACTTTCTCACTCTGTTTTAAACTGCCAACTTCCGGCTTCACTCGCTGCTACAGCAGAAGTATAGGAATGCTTGGCCTGTTATATACGTCATTGGATCTGTGGTCTTATGGCCCTACCCACAGGACGCGGCCCACTTGCCGCGCGGCGAAAGTTTGTGCAACAGCCAATCAAGGCTACGTTCCGAAATTCACTGTCAGTACTGAAATTCTATAATATACGTAATATGAACTATAGATTTTTAGTACTGGCAGTGCATTTCGGAACGCAGCCCAATATGTTGTTTTTCCGTGATGGATCCTACACACAGGGGTGCGTTCAGATTCCTCATCCGGGTGTATTCTATTACCAGAAATGCTACAGTATATGTGACATATACTATAGCACTTCTAGTAATAGAATACACCCGGGTGGGGAATCTGAACGCAGCCCAGGACGCGGCAACGCTTGCCACGCGGCGGAAGTTCGCGTAACAGCCAATCAATATGTTGTTTTTCCGTAAGAGCTAGGGCTGCGTTCAGATTCCCCACCCGGGTGTATTCTATTACCAGAAATGCTACAGTATATGTGACATATACTATAGTGTTTCTAGTAATAGAGTGCACCCGGATGAAGAATCTGAACGCACCCTAGAAGGTTATGGAAAGCAGCATATTGATTGGCTGTCACGCAAACTTCCGCCGCGCGACAAACATTGCCGCGTCCTGTGGGCAGGAGCCATTATTCTACTCTTAGGTGTTTAGTGTGAAACGTGCTTCACGGGAAATATTTATTTCACATTATTTGAAGAAAGATGAAATTCTCATACAAGGTAAATACTATTGTTTTTAAAACTATATATTTCTTTTTTCTGCTAAATTCCGAAAGTAACGTTTTGTGAATTTAATGTTTTCAATTTAAGGTTATTATAACCTTATATTCTTGTTAAGCAAATTGTGTTCCGTAGCATTACATGAACATCACGTGCTTAAAATGGATAAAATACAAAAATTAAGATACATATAATATAAGCAATATAAATATAAAAATAAAAGTAAGAATATTAAAAATAAAAGTAAAAATATTAATATAAAAATTTGTATACTCGTTTAGTACACATTGTTCTCGGTAGCATTATATGAACGTCACGTGAAGTGGATATAAATACAAAAGTTAAAATAATATGAAGAATATAAATATAAAAATGATAGGAAGAATATAATTTAAAAAATATATATATTTTTAAGTAAGAATATAAATGAATTTTACATTATTAGGAAGTGTGTGAACATATGTTTGAGAAACAAAATAGAGAATTTTTACAATATAGTTTTTATATATAGTAAACGTTAAAGCCAGATTTAAAGACAAAATTATATATTTATATTATTCATCATAGCGCTATTCAGATAATGTGCAATGTTACTTTTGAAGGAACAGTGTCCAAAATGTAATGGCTTTAATATTTAGCATATTTGAAAGATCATGTTGCAAAAATTTTCTGATATTTTTGCTTGTCACAGTAATAATTTTTATTCAATTTTTATTTTAGTTCAGTAATTTACTTGGCACAGTTTATCGTAAAGGAGATCTATTGTTTTCTCCAGATGGGTCATCAGTTATTAGTCCTGTAGGTAATAGAATCACAATTTATGACTTAAAGAAGTAAGTACAACAAAATGTATTAATGTTTATGTAAATTACAACTTTAATTTTATATTATAGGTTATTATAAGTGCAGGAAAATTTGTGGTACAATATAATAATGGAGTTAAATGGAATGTGTTAAATATAATAATGGAGTTAAGTACATATCAGATAGATGTTCAGAATCTGTTTTCTTGAGAATGAAGCTTTTGTATGAAAAAGATTTATCCTATATTTTTGATATTTTTTACTTATATTTACACAAGGAATTATCTTTTTTTTGTACTACAAATTTTGCCAAGAGAGCTCTATATGTTACATTAATTAATTAATAACTAGAGAGTCTATTTCTCTATTTCTAATATATATAATATTTTCTATATATTTCTATATATAATATTTATTATAAAATATTATATATTTAAAAAAAATTTTTTTAGTAATAAGTCTAGAACACTTCCTGTGGAAAGCAGATATAATTATGTTACTATTGATATATCTCCAAATGGTAGCATGTTGGTTGCAATTAATACAGGTTTGTTTTATTTACATATTTCTAAACACATTTGTGTAATATCAAAGAAAAAATATATATTTGTAATATATCTGTACAGATGGTGAAGCTCACATAATAAGTCTGATAACTAAAGTTATTTTACACAAGTACAGATTTAAAGGACGTCCAAAGTGTGTTAAATTTTCCCCAGATGGAAAATATTTTGCAGTTTCTAAAGGAGGTGGTGGTATGTGTTATAAACTTGTGGTAACTTTATAAACTTGTAAATAGTATCAGGATTTATCCTGTATAGCATTAACTATGTATAAAATTATAATATTTGCAATTATTATCTAAAATAACTTATATCTTCATGTTATAGTTGTTGTCTTTAATGCACCTTGCTTACAAAGTGGGAATTATAATCCATTTGTTATGATACATGCATTTCATGGACCTACTGCTGAAACAACATGCCTCAGTTGGTCTTTTGATTCAAAACTATTAGCAGTTGGTTCCAAAGATACTACTGTAAGAGTGTATAGTTTACAAAAGTGGGCGAATTTTAGGGTAATTACATTGGGCTGCCACTCTGATGTAATCGTAGGATGTTTCTTTGAGAATAAGAATTATGATCTATATACTATTAGCAGGTAAGTGAAAAATTTTAAAGTATTTCCATTATATTTCAAAATGCGATAATATATCAATCGTTACTTTAAATATTATACATCACGTTCTATAAATGTGTACAAACTTGTTTTATAGAAATGGCCGGACTTGTATCTGGGAATGTACAATTGATCCAGACGATTTAGTTCAATGGAATCCACCTTTAAAAAAGAGAAGACCTATGGATAGTGACAGTGAAGATGATATTGATATAAGTAAAGCTATAGAGAAGCCAAAAGCTCATACTTCAGATGGTAATTTGTTAGAATCAGGTGTGAGAAATTTTTTTGTTTTATATAATTTTTACTTTAGAAGTTTCTGCAGTCTAACTTACGAGTTCTTAAATAATTATATAAAGATAATTAGAGAGAGCATAAGTAATTATTTTACTTATAAGAGCGTATATTTTATAGAGGATTTGCTACGAGATAATGATGTAAAAGAAGAAGAGGGTATAGAAGAAGATGCTGCAGAAAAAAGTGTTCTTGATGCTGCTAACGAAATCAAAAGGCTAGCTTACAAGAAGTTGGCGCGTCATTACTTAGCAGATGAGCCTCGAAAGTACGACAAGGATGTAAGACTTACTGCAGCTGCTTATCATCGAGATACACATATATTGGTTGTTGGATTCAATATTGGTTCCTTTTATTTATACGAAATGCCTGACGTCAATATGATTCATTCATTGAGGTATGGGGTAATATCTAATTCTTAAAGAAAAAATATAATCGATGATATAATGTTATCTTTATATAGAATTATATTGTTTTATCATATGTACATATATGTGTGTATGTATATGTATGTATTTATATATGTATGTATATGCATATGTACAATTTGTACAGGATGAAGCATATACACACTGGAATTATTTTGATAATACTATAAATATTGATTTTAGCGAAAGTTGATCTAAATAAATATTGCTTAATTTAAAGGGGGCTATGCAATGTATTATTAAAATTTTTTTGCTGCTTGTAGTTTTCCAAATTTCAAAATCATTTTCAATTTTTTAAAAGTGAATCAATTTTTATTCTGTAAAAAATGTTATAGATGATATTAAAACAAATTCAACCATGTTAAACATTTAAAACACCCCGATTTATTGTATTTTTTAATGTAACTATCGTCATTTCTAAAACAAAGTGATTTCAGTTACATGCTTCATTCTAATAGATTTTATTTATATTGTTTACACTCAATTTACACTAATGAGTTACATGTAACCATTGGTTTTGTCTTATAGTATTTCTCGACAGCGTATTTCGTCAATCGCTCTAAATTCTACTGGTGATTGGATAGCTATAGGATGCTCTCATGCTGGACAATTATTAGTTTGGGAATGGCAGAGCGAGACGTATGCCATGAAACAACAGGGACACCGAACTAATATGAATTGTCTAGCATATAGTCCGGACGGCCAGTACATCGTGACTGGTGGCGATGATGGTAAAATGAAATTATGGAATACAGTGTCTGGATTTTGTACGCTCACATTCCACGAACACACCTCGGCTATTTCGGATGTGCTATTCAGTCATAATCGTAAATTCATCGCGTCTGCTTCGCTGGACGGAACTATTCGCGCATATGATCTAGTGAGGTACAGAAATTTTCGTACTCTCACTTCGCCACGACCAGCGCAATTTACTTGTATGGCGATCGATGCGAGTGACGAGTTTCTCGCGGCGGGTGACCAAGATTTCTTTGAGGTGTTCTTGTGGAGCATGAAACTTGGAACTCTCTTAGAGGTGTGTATAATATTAGTAATCTGCACATGTCAAATTTAATATTACACTAGACGGTTTTTTCGGTAAAATCTGCTGTAAATTTCAGATATTGAGCGGTCATACGGGACCCGTTGCGAGTTTGGCATTTAACCCCAATATTACCAGCACAGAATTAGCATCTGTATCCTGGGATAAAACGTTGAAAATATGGAATGCCATTGAGCATGGTTCCACACATGAAACTATGATATTAACGGCTGACGCGTTATGCGTAACTTATAAACCAAACGGGGAAGAAGTCGCAGTCGCCACGTTGGACGGACAAATTTTATTTTTCAATTGTAAAACTGCGAGACAGACGGGCTATATCGAGGGCAGGAACGATTTAGGCGCTGGTAGATCCAAGACCGATCTCATTACAGCAAAAAAAAATTTGCAGGGGAAGTAAGTAATAAAAACATGTTAGAGTATGAGGAATATTGTATATTGAATGCACATATACTTTAACGAATATGTTGTTAGATCTTAGCTTTATATTTTATTCTATTTATATTTTTCAGAGCTTTTACTACTTTATGTTACTCGGCTGATGGTACATGCATATTAGCCGGTGGCCGCTCGAAAAATGTATGCATTTATAATGTTGAAGTGTGTACATTGTTGAAAAAATATGAGATCACTCAGAACAGATCTTTGGATGGTGTAGAGGCAAGTATTAATGTCGCACAAAAATATAAGTCGGTTCTTATTTTCAGTTTTTAATTTCATGTACTGTTTCTTTTTTAAAATAGGATGTTATAAACAGAAGATACATGACTGAATTTGGGAACATGGCCCTAGTCGAGCATCGCGAAGGCGGGAATATATCATTACACTTGCCAGGTGTTAGAGCCGGTGATATGGCAAGCAGGAAAGTTAAACCCGAAGTGAGAGTACTTAGATTACAATTCTCGCCTACAGGTAAGAATGTATAACGTGATAATTAAGTATTAATTTTGTGATTTTGTAAATATATTTCATCTTCTATTGTAGTCTTTATATTATGTTATATTATGTTATATTATGTTATATTATGTTTTATAAAAGTACGCTTATCAGTTTAATTATAAAATATAAATTTTGTAAAATAGGGCAAGCGTGGGCTGCAGTGACAACAGAGGGTTTATTGATATACTCTTTAGATATTGGATTGATGTTCGATCCCTTCGAGTTAGAACTTGGAGTTACACCAGACACGGTAAAGGAAACGCTTGAAAAACAAGACTACGCCAAAGGTATAATTTTATATTAGATTAGCTTAACATTAATAATAATTATTGTTATTATTATATATGCGATTAGTGACGAGCGTAACCAACGATATTTTTCTTTTAGCATTGATGATGGCGTTGAAGTTAAACGAGCAGTTATTAACACAACAAGTTTTAGAGGCTGTTCCATACAAAAGTAGTAAGTCCATACATAAATATCTCTGAAACGCGCTATTGATTTCATCAATAATTTCATACACGATAGATATTGGTTTCACCGTTTTACTATTACAGTTGGATTAACGACAGCGAGTATACCAGATGTTTACATAGAGAAGTTATTGAAATTTATAGCATCCGAACTGGAATCAACTAGACATATACATTTTTATCTTCTCTGGGTAGAAGTAATCTTGACAAAACGTGGATCACAGATTAATACTGCGCTTCAGATGCCAGTGTTGTTAATGTTGCAGAAGAATATGCAGAAAAAATACGACGACTTGAGTAAAATGTCGGTTTAACTGTATATTTGGAATTATCTATTATATATTAATATTAAACATTGAATTGATTTGGAATATTATTCTTGCAGATGCGATTTTAACCAATATACGTTGAATTATATACTGAGTGTAGGAGAACTAAAATCGACGAAAGACGTATCCAAACATACATGGAGTGACAGTGAGTCGGATAATGACGATTCGATCAATATCTTGAAAGATTCTTCCACGGATCTAGAAGATTGGAGCGAAGAAGAAAAAGAATAAATATTTTGGAATCATAAAATAGATTCAGCTACATGAATATTCTTGGCAGAACGAAGTGAGAGGCAAAATATAGGGAGACTTCTGTTTTTATCTGTGTAGGTAAGACATAAATGTTTTTTGACAAAAATGACAGAAACTACATAAATCCTCATTTAAGAACGTGTAGCATAAATAAATTATTTCATTAAAATATTAAATTATAAACCAGTAAGAGGCAACACAAAAAGTAACCAGTTACGCAAAATACTTCGGCACGTATATAGTTATGTACTATATGGCTACATTCGCTTTGGGCGCTTATACGCTGTAAGCGTCATTCTATCTTCTTCCCGCATATAATGAGCGATAAAGATAGAATGACGCTTAAAGTAAGCGTAAGTGCGTAAGCGCCCAAAGCGAACACAGCCTATATGTATGTATGTATGTATGTATGTATATTCATGCATATCATTGTACACAACGGATGTTTTACGGTATTCAATTAGAGTTCCATATAATATGTTTAAACGAAAAAACATTTAAACGTGTACCCGAAAATCGTGTCGCAGCAGCAGCCTTAGTTTCGACTTTCTTCATTGTTCTTCTTGTGTTGGTTCTTACTGCCTTATAATTTGATATTTCGATTATGTATCCAAGAGCCTTATAATACTTAATTTAATTTTTATATTATGGGTACGGCTCAGTAAGCACTACAAATGCTTTGTAACGTTTTTACTTTCTTTTTTCGAATCCGAGAAATAAAACAAGAGAAACACTGCGCAGCATTTGTAGCGGTTACTGGACTGTGCCCTATTTCATCACATAAGAACAAAAGTCTAACTTCAGATTAATGAAATTACATAAATTTTTATTTAAATGAAGGTTTTAAAGAAAATATAGAATAACATTTACATAATTAGGCGCTACATCTTATCATACATTTAAATTACATTTAAATTGTCACTTGCCAGCTATTACTGACATTAATGCACACACAACAAAGAACAGAGGATCACTGATGTTTTGTCTCCTTTTCCGTTCTGCCAAATCCAATTTATTTCCTAAAGAAGTATATATGATATGTTGCATCTATTTCTTATGTCTATGGAAGAAAAGTCACCAATTAGGCTTTTTATTGAAATTTTATAGAAAACGTTCTTTAATACTGTATATATAATGTACATATAATAACTTTTTTATAAAATATATTTATTTTTAAAATAAATTTTTATAAAATATAAACAACCCGAGGGAGAGGAAATATATATTTCATTTTTCTACATATGCAAATTCATGATACATTTAGACTTTTACTTTCAACTAATTACAATGACGACAGTGATTTTAAATTTGGAAAAAATGCCGATTATTAGATAATATGTACGAAATGTATTAGTGACAGATCCTAAGTAGGACTTGTCTTATGGCTCCTGCACACAGGACGCGGTAATGCTTGCCGCGCGGCAAGCATTACCGCGTCCTGTGTGCAGGAGCCGGTAATTATTCAGTTTAGCTGCCTCACCTCCGATTTCGATGAATGTAGGCTCATTCGAAAGGTATTTGCACGAGTAACAACTTTTTCCTTTAAGAAAATTGGGGCTCTGCCCCGCGAAGCGAGATATTAATCGATAAAGTTGAAGACGCGTTAGGGTAATTGTTCAGAAGAGCTACCTCACCTCCGATTTTAATAAAAGAGAGCTCAATCGACGCGTTTGTGCATGCCAAATTTTTTCCTCTGATAAAATCGTCGCGATTAATATCTCTCTACTGCGAAGCGAGATATTAATAGATAAAGTTGAGGACGTGTTAGGTTAGAAAATCTGTCACCATCTATCTCTAGCTATGTAACTGGGGGGCTTCGCCCCCCAGACCCCCCTATCACGAGAGTGGGGGCTGTAGTCTTTTGTGAGAAATTCACTCTTTAGCTTAAGCACAAGAGACTATAGCCCCCATCCCCGTGATAGGGGGGTCTGGGGGGCGAAGCCCCCCAGTTACATAGCTAGAGATAGATGGTATGACAGATTTTCTAACCTAACGCGTCCTCAACTTTATCGATTAATATCTCGCTTCGTGGGGCAGAGCTCCGATTTTCTTAAAGGAAAAAGTTGTTACTCGTGCAAATACCTTTCGAATGAGCCTACATTCATCGAAATCGGAGGTGAGGCAGCTAAACTGAATAATTACCCAGGAGCCATTATTTATTACGATAGTTTCCTTAGTAACATTATCGGCCAATATATAATGACAAGAAATAGGAAAAGTATCGGAATTCTGCTGTAACAATCGATCTTCTGAGAGTATGTCTAAAGGCCAATCACACTAGCGATTGGCGATTGACGATTAACAATTGAAGGTTAGATTTTAACGAGTCAATAAGCTTCAGCCTTGGCTTGTTTTGCTCCAATTGGTCAAGTTCCAATCTTCAATCGTCAATCATCTATCGTTAGTGTGATTTGGCCTTTAAGGCTAACACAAAACCAGCTTATTGGTTGTATATTATCTTACAAGATATTTTAGATAATATGTGACCAATAAACTGGTTTGTGTACGTGTGTGTCAAGTGTGTTAAGCAATTGGAAAGCATCCAATGATTGGCCGCGGATTTGTATTGTCCTTCTTCCGCACCAAGCAAACTTTCAATCAGGGTTGCCGTTGTTGGTGATTTTTCATCATTTTGGGGATTTTTAAACTTTTGGTGATTTGGTGAATAACTTTCTTTATTTGGTAGTAAAAATGGTTGTGTTCCGAAATTCACTGCCAGTGCTGAAATTCTATAGTATTCGTGACATAAACTATAGAATTTCAGTACTGGCAGTGAATTTTGGAACGCAGCGTTTATAGTATATGTAACATGAACTATAGATTTTCAGTACTGACAGTGAATTCCGGGACGCAGCTATCATATGGCGAATTCGATTAAATACATCAGTGCGCACTAAGTACACACTAATGCAGGATTTACACCACGTCCGATATCCGACGTACAACGTCCAATATCCAATAGAAGAACAGTTTTCCAATTGAGAATTGAATTCTCTATTAGAAAGCTGTTCTCCTATTGGATATCGTACGTCAGACATCGGACGCGGTGTAAATCCTACATAAGGCTTGTTCACAGATCTTTCTTATTCTTAAGGTCGTCTTAAATACATCTCCAAAAACTTCTTAGCTAATAAAACAATTTGTACGGATGTTGTATAGATAATTTTGCTAGCTGAGATGTATTTAAAGATGTACTTAAGATGATTTTTAAGTATAAGAACGAATTATAAACAAGTTTAGTGTACACTCACTACGCACTAGCACATTCAATCGAATTTGCCATTAGTAACAATTTACAATACGCTAAAACTAATAACAAAATAAGTTTTTCCTTCTCTCTCTCTCTCTCTCTCTCTCTCTCTCTCTCTCTTTTTCTCTGTGTTTTCATATTTTCATGAGTGTTTAAATATATTATGTTAATTTTGTTTATATTTATGTTTAAATATGTTTATTAAAACATTAAAAATCATTAAAATTTTTTTTATTCGAATTTATATATATTTAAAAAAATCTGGTGAATTAAAGTTCTATTCTGGTGGTTTTTTAAGCCGAAATCTAGGGAATAAATTTTTGAAGCCGCACTGCTTTCAATCAGCGTGCGTAGCGTTGCGCATTCTATAAGATGATGGTTACAAGTATGGTAGATGAGATTAAAGAGGAAGTAGTGTACTTGGGGAAAGTGGATGATGTAGATGTTGTTGTGCATTATTGCGACAATAATACATTTTGCTCGTCTGGTGGAAAGAAAAAAAAACGAAACAAGGAGGATAAAGTTTGGGCTGAATACGATGAACTACTAATAAATGCTGTTAAGAAAAGACCTTGTGTATGGAATCCTACCATCACAATGAAAAAGAAAAGTTCAATAATTATCAAAGAAGCATGGCTTGAAATTAAGAAGGAAATAGGCGGTAATATTTATTTTAATATTTAAAATATAGGTGTGTAACTTAAATCCCTTTTTCTAGGAAAAATCTTTTATGAAATATTTATGGTAAATATGCAGTATAACGTACTCATCTTGGATTTTTTTTAACTTTATAAATTTGTATATTTTTATGCGTAGAATTGATTTCTGAAAACAAAAATTGTTGCTCACTTTTTTCGTTTTCTTGTTTTATTTTTGTTTTATGATGTTGGTAAGTAATAAAGTAGTAAGTAGCAAAAAATAGTTCATACATGCTTTTCTCTGCTTTAATCAAAAGCATAAACTGCTATAAAGCAGAGAATTCTTCATACATGCTTTTCTCTGCTTTAATAAAAAACAAGCTCTGTTATAAAACAAAGAATAGTTCCTGTATAATGAGAACGTTGTAATCATATGTACAATTAGATCTAAATTTTAATCTGTATAAAAAGGTAATTATTAAGTTTTATAAGATAGTGTATATGATTAAAACAGAGAAAAGCATACATGAACTATTCTGCTTTATAACAGAGTTTATGCTTTGGTTAAGAGAAAAGCATGTATAAACTATTCTCTGTTTTATAACAAAGTTTATGCTTTTGATTAAAGCAGAAAAGCATGTATGAACTATTCTCTGCCTTTCCTACTTACTGACATCATAAAACAAAAATAAAAAAAAAACAATAAAATGAAAAGTGGATGGTAGGGGCGTTATACTGCATATTTGCCATATTTATTTATAAACTTTCAGATAAATTCCAAGTAGAAATAATTAGAAAGCGTTGGAGAAACCTTCGTGATTCTTACAAGAAAGCCAGACATAAAATGACCGAGTGCATATCTAGTGGTTCAGAAGCACCAATAATCAAGGACAAGAAAGATGGCTTTCGGTACTATGACGAAATGAAATTCTTGAATGACACGATAATTTCCAGGCTGTAAGTCAACAATTCTACTAAGTCAATTTTAATACTAACAATTTACAATAAAATAGATAATTGTCTTTAAATACATATATGCAGTTCTCGAAATAAGGTTTTAAAGGACAAATCACATGCCTTCGACCCCAGCAAAACAAGTAGTAACTCAAACAACAATAGTAGCAATAATAACTTAAATAGTAATTTAAACAACAAACATTCAGTAAAAGATGAAGAGGATGGGAATAAGAATACACCAGGTATAAATTTAAGCGTATCCAATTGTACCAACTTCTTAGAGCACATTAAACGTAAGTAAATAGTTTTACATTGGCACTTAAATAATGTTTTTCCAAAACAGGATTATTTTTATTCTTGATTACTTTGATTATATTATATGTAATATAAGTATATAATATGTATATAGTGAATTATTTGTTATCAAACAAAATTGATGAAATATATTATTATATTGTTTCAGGACCAAGGAACCAGTCATCTAATTCTGAACTCAATAAAGTCTCACTAAATGTGTTATCAGAGGATAACAAAGTTCCTGATACTATTGGAGCATTTTTGTTTCAACTAAACGATATTTTAAGAAAATTGCCATATAAAAATAGAAGACGACTTGAAACTAAAATTATGATGGATGCATTAAAAGCAGAAGAAGAGGCAGGACTTTTATAATTTATAAATATAAATATAAATTTATAAATATAAATATAAATTTATAATTTATATTATAAATTTATAATTATATTTATAATTTAAATTGATAAAAACTATATCTTTATGTAAATATTATTTCTTTATTATCATTCAAGTAAATTATAAAGTACAGAACTGTTTCATGTTATAAAATCGCTGATTGCTCACTGAGTTTTCTGCTGAATGCGCCCAATGCACCTTGGTCTTGGCCTGCTTGACTCCAATTGGTCAAGTTCCAATCTTCAATCCGCAATCCTCTATCATCAATTTGTAGTGTGACACGGGCTTAAGGCTAGTGACACATAGAAAAAGTTAAACTTAAGGCCGATATTCATAATCGGGTCTTATATTTAGGGCGGTATTCATAGTCGAATAATTTTTCAAGACCGTCTTAAGGGGAGCGGTGCACTTGGACACGGTGCATTTGGACACAGCCAATCACAACACCGTATGATTAGAGACATTTGTAGGGTCCCTTGGAACAGCGACTTGTGATTGGACTGTGTCCAATTGCCCCGTGTCCAACTGATATACACCCCGTCTTAAGTAATGTCTTAAGATGCGAATACGGCTCTGTGATTGGTTCATGACATCTTAAGACAGTACTTAAGATGATCTTGAATATAAGATTGGACTATGAATACCGGTCTTAGTCTGTAGCCAATGAGATAATCCATACATCATCTGAAGATAAACTTAAGATTTAAATAAGATATAAGATATAAGATAATAAGATATAAGATCTGACTACGAATATCGGCTTTAAGACTTATTGCGTGATTGAAAACATGGATTGTCCATGGCCCCTATTCTTAAAATTTTTGCGTATACGTAATTTTCATTGCGCAACTATTTTATAGTATTTTATGATTAAACCTGTGCAGTAAAACTTACGTATATTTCAAGAATAGAGGCCCATGTTCTTAACACGCAATTATGCGCTTAGCACGGACACGAATCGCCAGAAAATAGGCGTAGAATGGACACGCAACAAATCGACAGCGTCTGAAAAGGGAGCGGTGCACTTGGACACGGTGCATTTGGACACAGCCAATCACAGCACCGTGTGATTAGAGACATTTGTAGGGTTCCTTGGAACAGCGACTTGTGATTGGACTGTGTCCAATTGCCCCGTGTCCAACTGATATACACCCTCTGAAAATGGGTGTAGGAACGTAGTTGTACCTCAAAAATGGATGCAGATGGCGCATCGAACAGCGTGAAAATCGGTGTCGGCCAAAACTTATGGCGTGGCCGTTCTTAGGTTTCTCTCTGCTTTAGTTCGTAGTGTCCTGTACCGTTTAAGTCTTGCCGCAATGAAGGTAAAAATGCACATATATTTTAATAATCTTGCGTTCCTCACGCCAAATCAATGTTTCGCGATATTACGGAATATCATGATCATCGTAAAATTATTTTTTTATTCACTTACACATAGTTTTTATTTACACGTGGCAGCAATGCTGGTCACCCACGAGTGATCGTGCGGGCTTCTAGAATCGCCTTGTTTGGTATTCAAATACGATTAACGTGGATAAAACGTTTTTTCATTGTTGCTCTGTTTCTATTTTGTTGGTTTAACGAAGAAATTTATTAGCTGTTATGTTTTATTAGGTAAAATCTAAATTTAATTTAGAGATATTCCAAATGCTCCTTAAATATGTTACATCTTTTACAGTTAAACGTATCATATCCTGCGACAGGATGTCAGAAACTGTTCGAGATTTCGGATGAGCACAAGCTCAGAATGTTTTACGAAAAGCGTATGGGTGCTGAGGTTGAAGCCGACGCACTTGGAGATGAGTGGAAGGGATACGTTGTTCGCATCGCCGGCGGCAACGACAAACAAGGCTTTCCGATGAAGCAAGGTGTTCTAACAAATGGTGAGTTTGAATATACTTGGCCTTGATTCGACACATTAGCTGTGTTTACTGGAGAAAATTACTTTGTTGTAAAACTTGTGAATCAGAAGTCTGTTCTTTTCAGCAGCACTGTTGCACTCTGGTGCAATAAGTTAGAATGAGACAAATATATTTTATCTCACTTTAGCTTATTGCATCAGTGTAGCAGTGCAGTTGAAAAGAACAGACCACTGGTTAGCATGCATTTTTAACCTTGGCTGGATTTAAGATCATATATCAGTCAAAACCACAAATTTTATAACAGTTGTAAAGCAGTTTTCTCTGTTGAATGCAGCTATTGGTATATATTAAGAAAAACCTGTATTTAACTGTAGAAAGATTGCATGAATAATTTTTATTTGTACTGAAAGCCTTAAGCTTCCTCTATGATATATAGTAACTATATATTTCCTCACTGAAATGAATACTACTGCTTTTTTGTGAAATATTAAACTTAATTTGTGAATGATTAAACTTACTCATCCTTATCTTAATTGTACCATAAGTTATTGCTACCTTTTTAGGGTTGAATTTCAGTATGAGTAAAAGCACCTTTCAGTATGAGTAAAAGCAAGGATTATATTACTTTTCTAGAGTTAAAGAATTAAGTGAGATATCAGTAATATTAAAGTTATCTGCAAATTCTTAGAAATTAGATGTAAGTGGCAAATTTTGTTACAAAATTATTTATAAAAATTCTATTTTGTATGTCAGGAAATCATTCCAGCAGTTTCACATTTAGAGAGTTCTCAGTAGTTGATATATTAATAATGTGTTTTTAATATGTTTATAATGTCTGTATGTAGGTCGTGTCCGTTTATTGCTGTCAAAGGGACACTCTTGCTATAGACCCAGGCGTGATGGAGAGCGCAAACGCAAATCAGTTCGAGGTTGCATCGTGGACTCGAACTTATCTGTATTGGCTCTTGTTATAGTTCGAAAAGGAAAACAGGTGACATATAATCTGTAGCATATTATAGGTGATATATGTTATTATATGATTCCATGCAGTTCAGGGTGTATTCAAGATGATCTTCAATTTTCTTCGAATACTATCGTAGGCATGGAAGATAAAACTCGTTTTTTGATTTGGGAAACTGCGTTACGTCATTTGTGCCTTTTTCTCAGTGTACGAACGAGACATCTTTTCATTTGTTATTTAATTCGCGTAACAGCTTATATAAATTGGTTTTTGTATTACATGGTTCTAAAATTTATATAAAAAATAACTCGTTCTATCAAAGTCGACAATTACTAAAGCATTTAGTCTCATTGATATATAATATAAGTGGACTGAAATGTTCGCGAAACGTTGGAATCAAACAAAGATGAATCCACGCGGCTCAAACCCGGAAACCAAATCTGATATGTAGTGTAATAGTATCATTTAAATGTTTCAGGAAATTCCAGAGTTAACGGACAAGAACGTGCCGCGTCGTTTAGGACCAAAGAGAGCGAGCAAAATTCGCAAGCTCTTCAATCTATCTAAAAAGGATGACGTCCGCCAATTTGTGGTGAAACGTCCCGTACAGAAGGAAGGCAAGAAGGAGCGATTGAAGGCGCCAAAAATTCAACGCCTTATTACTCCAGTTGTCCTTCAGGTGTGTGATATTATTTAAAAGCATTAAGACGTAGATTAAAAATGACCTATTCTCGAAATATTAAAAATAAGATTGCATTAATTGTAATTAATTGCATTAAATGTAACTACCAACTTAGATTAATTTAAATTAATTCGAATTATATTTGTAATAAGAAAAGGAAGATGAATATTCAACGTGATAATTAGTCTATTAGTTAGTATTGATTCAAGCAGGTTTAACGATTTACACAATTCACATAAAATTTACACTAATTCAATGCAGTTTTAAGTGTAAAAACATTTATTGTGTGTTTATAGAGGAAAAGACATAGATTGGCGTTGAAGAAGAAGCGTTGCCTGGCACGTAAGGAGCAGGCTGCTGAATACGCAAAACTCTTAGCGCAGAGACAAAAAGAGGCAAAAAACAGACGCCAAGAGGAGTTAAAGCGAAGGCGCAGCGCCTCTATGCGCGATTCGAAATCGTCCAGCCAGTCGGCACCTACATCGTAAAAGTAAAACGTCTGGATGTTCAATATATTAATAAATTAATAAAAATACTCCAAATTATATATATATATATATTTCCGTTTCGACCTTAAGATCCGTTCATATGTAATACGAAATATAAAGAACATAATACGATTAACTTCCTTTGTATTGTGCATTCGCGAGATCTTGAGAATTTTTGTATTAGTCACCGAAGAATTGAAAGTACTGTCGCTAAAGGTCTGTTCTTTTTAGCTGAACTGCCTAGATTGGTGTAGTAAGTTTGAGTGAAACAAGATATATTTGTCTCACTCTAACCTGTTGCATCAGTTCAGACAGTTCAGTTAAAAAGAACAGATCTTAGTTTCTTGGCGCTCTTTTAATTGGGCCGTAAATATTCTCGGGTCCTGACAAAAGTGAAGAAGAAAACAGTAGGTCTGTTTTCTATTGCTGAACTGGCAGTTTTCTCTTACTTTCTTCCACCAAATTTTATCTGTATCTTCATCTCTTTTTAAATTTCGAAAGTGTACACTAGTTCAGCAATAGAAAATAAACTCAGTGTATCAAATGACCGTAAATATTCTCGGAGAAGAAACTGTGGAGGCGCGATGATACAATCACTAAATAAGAAGAAAAAAAATGATCTTAACAAGGAATGAAAACACTAAATAACGAATAACAAATCGTAAATAGTGTCTGACGTGTCGAAACAATTAAGAAGCCAAAGTTATTACTTTCGAAATCCGGCTACGGCGTTGAAAATTTACAGAATTGTTGGTAAACATAAGTTGACTTTTTCCATCGTTGAAACGTGTTTGCAACTGTCCGTTTCTTCTTACCGCAAGTCTTCTCGCAGCAATAAAAATATTTCTTGAAATCGTGAGTCACTGAATGCAATAATCGTAAGTCCTTTCTTAAATCGCAGACTGCGCAATTTCTGTGAATTCTTCTATGTACATATGACGCCCAAAATTATTACGCTTCCGCATATTTGCTCTATTCTTCCTCATTCCCAGGAATAAACATATTTTCGTTTTTATGTATGATGAAATTAATATATCATGAATTTTATAACATATAGTGTTTGGGGGATAAATAGAACTGAATAAATAGAACTGAATAAACTGTTGCAATGCATAATTACAATGCATGTTACAAGATTTGAGTTCTTGAGAGAAAATGATAAGTTTTAAGAGAGATTTTGCTTCTCTGTCTTATTTGCAAAAATAAAAATGTTTAGAAAAATGTGTACATACACATTCGCACTTAATGAGTTAAAACATAGGGTGTTTTTAAAGTTGTTATCTATTTGGTGAAATAAGGCAATGTTTAAAGAGTTTAATTTTAATGCTCTGCTATCTCCGCGTAGAAAGTCAGAGTTGACGATGGCGCCTACCAGTGTCGAGAACGCGAAATAACTGTGTCAGCGTAGCTGATTGGCTGACACTCGGCCATCCGAGACATCTGTGTGTCGGAGCGATTAACCCAAGGCCACTCGACACTATCAGTGCTACAGAAACGTGCCCGCGCACGCCGCAGCGTGCGAGGAGAAGTGTTCCCTCCATGTGTCTTCTCTTAATGCAACAACGCTGCTGTTGTGAAGTTCACAGCGATAGACTGAACAGCAGCGTTGTGTGCGTTAGAAGAAGACGCATGGAGGGAACACTTCTCCTTGCACGCTGCGGCGTGCGCGGGCACTTTTCTGCAGCACTGCACGCTATTAAGGCTGGTTTATGATGGCCGTAATCCGTTAACTTATACCGGTATCGTAAAAAATTGATCAATCATAGTCGAATTATAGAAGAATAATCGACTGTAATTGGTCAAATTTTTTTTACGGTTCTGGCATAAGTTAACGGATTACAGCCATCATAAATCGGTCTTTAGTTTCTTGGCGCCTTTTTAATTGGTTGGTCCTGACAAAAGTGAGGAAGAAAATAATCCTTTCCTTCCTTTAATATTTAGCTAGAGGCGCTGCAACGGCTCAGACCCCAACGCCATTACTAAGGAAGAAAATAGTAGTGGTCTGTTCTTTTCAGCTAAGTGTTGAACTGGTGCAATAAGTTAAAGTGAGACAAGTATATTCTTTCTCACTCTAACTTATTGCATCAGTTCAGCAGTACAGCTGAGAAGAACAGACCATTTGTCTGTTTTTTATTGTTGAACCGGCAGTTTTCTCTTACTTTCTTCCACCAAATTGTATTTGTATATTTATCTTTTTTTAAATTCCGAAAGTGTACACTAGTTCAGCATTAGAAAATAAACCCAGTGTATCAAACAGCCGTAAATATTCTCGGGGAAGACTGATGATATAATCACCAAACAAGAAGAAAAGAGATGATCCTAATAAGGGATGAAAACATTAAATAACGAGTGAATAGTGTCTGACGTGTCGAAACAAACGAGAAGCGGTCCAAAGTTATTACTTTCGAGATCCGTTTACGGCGTTGAAAATTTACAGAATTGGTGGTAAACATGAGTTGACTTTTTCCATCGTGGAAACGTGTTTGCGACAGTTCATCCGTTTCTTTTTTCCGCAAGTTTTTTCGTAGCACTGCAAATGTTCCTTGAAATCGTGAATCACCAAGTACAATAATCGTAAGTCCTTTCTCAAATCGTAATCTGCGCAATTCTTGTGAATTCTCTGATTTGCGTATGACGCAAGATTATTATATTGCATATTTCTTTATTTCTGCGTATTTGCTCTGTTCTTTCTCATTCCCGAGAATGAAAATGTTTTCGTTTCTGTGTTTTCATGTGCGATGAAATTGATATATTATGAATTTTATGACATCTCATATAGCACAAATCTCTAAAAGACATCTTAAAGGGTTCCAAAAAAGTTCCCAAGTCTTCCAGAATACTTTTGGAATTCTTTAAGAAGTCTTTTAGAGATTTGTGCTATATGGGATGTAATGTTTTGAGGATGAATAAAACTGGGGATAAAGTGTTGTAAAGCATAATTACAAGATTTGGATCCTTGAGAGATAAAATGATGAGATTGGAGAAAGATCTTGCTTCTCTGTTTTATTTGCAAAAATAAAAATAATGTTTAGAAAAATATACGTACTCGCACTTAATGAGTTAAAATACAAGATGTTTTTAAAGTTGCTATTTATTTGGTGAAATAAGGTAAAGTTTAAAGTGATAGTTTAATTTTAAGAATATATAAGTATATTTGTATGAACCATAGAAAAAAAGAATCATAAAAATAATTATTTCATAATGTTCATAGTGTTCTAAATTATAAAAATTAATGACAATATTTAATCATTATATTCTGTGTGTACCAATAGTACTTCTATAGATTTTAAATTAGTAAATTGCGTTGCAAAATCACTTATAACCATTTAAGGCATAATTGTTTAAACTAATTAATATGATTTTTAAGATATGCATATACTCTCTTTTTTTTATCTACATTTAATTTAATACAGATTCAGGCAAAAGAATCTAATAATGTTAAATTAAGAGATCATACAATTTAAGACTGAAGGCTATTTTGTATATAAATATGGATGTAACATATATATGTAAAATGTATATCAAAAAAGTAATAGTAACAATGTTAATAACAAAAAGCTAATAACAAAAATGTTTTTTGCAAAACTATGTTCTCTAGGAAACAATTTGCTGAATGTTTCTAGTAAAATATGTTTTTAACAATATGGAAAACAAAAAATGTCACAAAGTTAGAAAAATGATTTACCATAATTACATTGCTAATAGCAATGTTATTAGTAAAAACGATATTCTTAAATGTTTTCAATAAAATTAGAAAACTCAACGATTAATAGCACTATTATTAGTAAACATATGCTATTAACAATGTTGCTAATACATATCTAGTTTAATTTTCTGCTAATAACATTTATTTTCCACAAAATGTTGAGAACAAATGTTATTAACATTTTTCATTCCAAAATGACAAAGTTAATAGCAAAATATGATTAATGTCACATTAATTGTTTTGCAATTTATTAAAAAAATATGTTTTTATCTATTTGGAATGTGACAATCTATATTTATCAAAGTGACACTGCTAGAAATAAATGTTATTAATATAATGTTATCACTGACATAAATTGGTTTTAATCTTAATCTTAAATCATTTGAAATTTGCTTTATTTAACTAAACATGTAGTGACTTTAGAAACACATGTATACAGATTGATATCGACCACTAACACTTCTTATACGACTTCTTATTACAACTTAGAACAGAAATGTCAACAAACAAAGTAACGACGAGATTCCAAAGGGAAGTGAGATGCATAGACTTGATAGGAGATGAAAAATTACTCGCAGAAGTCGACACGACCAACAGGAGAACGCACATCCGACCTCACTTTGAGCTGCACACACAGTCGTCCTTGATGAAAAGGAAGGAGCCGAAACAGTATACAACAATATCCTTAAAAAAATCCAGAATTTCTGAAGGAAATCGCGTTTGCAAGAAACGAAGTGGACTCACGAAGCAGAGCAAAAGTTTGCAGGCGCTGAAGACAATTCTCCGAGAGAAAGACTCCCGTGAGGTGTTTGCTTCTCTTTCAAATGAACTGATAAAAACGGTATATAGATTGAAAGATCGCTCGGAGAATTCGTTCGTTCCTCTTCAGAACGGTTCCATTGGAAGTGCGTTCTACGATTTTGAAAAACAAACAGAACGTCTGACCAAGTCAGAAGTCAAGGTCGATTCTCGGGACGAGATCGTGCAAATTGGGGAACATCTAGGAAAGTCGCGCGAGGCTTCCTTTCAGGACGGTCAAAGGAGCGAGCATAGTCGCGATATTCAACGCGATATGGAAAATACGTCCTCCGTATCTCTTCGAAGCAATTGGTCGAGGGCCAATTTTATCTCTATCGAGAATCATCCGTTCGTGGAAACCCGGCGTGGAACTCGGTTAAGCGACAACGGATTCGAGGATTTCCGTCATAAGATAAAATCTCATCATGAATTAAAATCTCAAGGGAAGCCCGAGGACAGTGCTTTGGACGAAGAATACTCTGTCGAGGCTCAAGTATACCGGCACGGTGTGTTGCCGTATGTCACTTGTAACCGCGGATGGGAGACCTGGAGAAACGAGAGAGCTGCGATCCAGATCGAAGACGCCGGTGTCGATCACTCGCGTGAGTGCGACTCGCGTGAGTACGACTTAGGAGATAAAAAGTTCGTGAAACAGGTCGATGATATCCAGTTGGCCACGAGTAATGTCGGGATGTCGAACCGGAAGAAGTGTATCGAATGGAATCCCGTTTCTAACTTACAAGCTCGGAAGCCGGCTAGAGTCAACAAGGTGTCCACCGTGGAAAACACAGCGTCCTTAACGCAGAAATCGTCTCGATTGACAATGAAATCGATCGCTTCGAGAAGCAACCAGGAGCCGAGTAAACATTCGTCAGTCGAGTATGTCAACTAATATTTTTTTAGGATATATATTTTCCATTTTACATATTAGATTAGTCTTTATATTCTTCGGATTATTGATTTTTGTATACTCCTCTAGATCATGGAACTTTGTCTCTACATTGAAAAAATTAAAAAATGAAAAAAATATATAAAATATAGGGGAGATCAGGACTATATAAGACCCCAAAAGTGTTATTTATGTGCTTTTTTTTAAATAATTATCTTCAGAGAATAGTGGATAAAAAATCGCGAAATGATTTTTCTAAAACAGGAATACTTTTCCCTGACTTTCATTAAAATCAGAATAATATTACAGTTAAGAAATAGAAAAAACTGATTTGGTAACAGCAAAGTAAATTTTCGAGCTTTTTGAAATTTTATATTGTCATTCTCCATCGTGACTGAATACCGAATTAAGCGATGTACTAACTAGAATAAAATTTCTTGCAAGTTTATGATATATTGTTTCTGATAATACATACAATTTTCATTCATAAAATAATTGAAATATAGAATATGAGCAGAGAGTTGGCCTATAATTAAGGACGGGAGAGTTGTGGAAATCTTTCGGAGATTGGAATTATTAATCAAGATAGATATTTTAGATGTGGCCTTCTTACCCTGAGCTATTGAGCAACTGATACCAGGGCAAGATGGCTATGTTGCTGTATGTTCATATTTTGGTTATTACAAAATAAAATATACGGTTAACAGAGTCATGGCGGGCATTAATACATAGACGAAAGTAGCCTCTATTTATGTTTATACAATCAGTCACGACAATTAGTTGTTTGGGAAGATATAACTTCGAAATTCTAAATTCGAAATTCTAAAATATAGGGGATCTAGCCCCTGTCTTTTCTTTTGAAGAGTTTGGGCAAATGTAGCGCATGTAATAGCGATTAAATTACAGAATATCAACAGAATAAACGTGTAATTCGGGGATAATTTCGAGTTTATCTCTTTTGCTGTGAAATTCTAGGTCAATCGTGGGCGAGTCCACGAGAGTGTTGAAGTCTAGAAAGCTGTCCAAACTATCGGTGAAAGAAAACAGAGATCCTTGCGCAAGCTTGCGTATAAATTGCGCGTCAAAACTTTGCAAACATCTCGTGTAAGACATTTATTATTATTATCAGGATTGGGTAATAACTAGTTAATCAATTAAAAATTAAGTTAAAACGTTATAAAGTCAATCATTTTTATCTTAATTTAGTTTATTTGAATTTAAATAAGTCAATCTTTAATTTAAACTAGTTATTTTAAAATATACATTAACTCATTAATCTTTTTTTTACATAAGTTTAAATAATCTACCAATACTTAAATCACTGCGAGCTACTAATAATGTAGAATAAGAAAAACAAATAATGGCAGAATTTTTTTGTGTTTCTGAATACCAGTGTTCTCGTCTTATATAAAATTCTGAGTGCAACAGAGTGCAACTGAGTGCACAGTCAGTAGTTTCTTTTGTTATAAAGGTCTATTTTTTTTCATCAATAACTCACAAAAAATTTAATCTTTATTTAAAAGTTAATTGTGCAAAAATATAGATTTGCATTATTTGCATAGTTAATTCAATTTTAATGACTTTTAATTGAGTTAGTTTTTATTTATGTAACTTTTAATATAAATTAAATTAAATCAAGAATCATTAATTTTGAATAAAGAAAAATTTAAACTTAACTTAGTTTATAAAAATACTCACCTAACCTTGTTTGTCATTATATATTTATTAAGTGGGAATAAAATATCCTTTTTTTGGAAAAGCAATCTATATTATGATATTATAATATTATATTTTAACATTTGCATGATTGCTTCTTTTTATAGAGAGACAAGTCAAGCGAAGGATACTAAGCAGCGAGGAATGCCGAATGAAGGAATGTTGTTGAAGAAAAGACGATCGACGAGGAAGGTGGTGTGCTTCCCGTCGAGCGATCTAACAGCGGTCTCGGGCAAACATGACGACGCAAAGCCGCGGGGCTTGAGATCGAGGTCAAGGTCGAAGTCAAGATCGCGACGCTGGCAATCGCGATTGGCTACACCGAAGAATTCTTCTAAGACTCGACGAGATATCAACGGCGATCGTATCGAATCTGCTCCGACTTACAAAAAGAGATCGACACCTTCGGAGGTGATGCACACATTGAAGCAGATCATTAATAGTTCAAGAGATAACGAAGATGTAAAGGGAAATGCGAAAATCTCTGAAAGCGAAGAAGCTTCGATGTCAACTCGCACCGTTAGCACGCAAACATTGCCTTGTTGCAAAAAGAATGTTGTCGAAGCTGGGTGCAATACGATGACTTATGAGGTTTTCTATAAAGATGCTGAGGTTTCCTGCGATCTAGTCGGCTCATCAAGTTCGAAGACAGACGTTGACCTGTTGGTGATTCGAGATGAGCTGGTCTCAGAAGATGTTTCTATTCACACGATCGTGGGGCCTCGACTTATTCAATATACTAAAACCGACGATGAAAGCGAATGTTGCGATGACATTGAGAAACTTTCAAGCAGCATCAATGATAAGACGCTGATTGGAGATAGTACAGAATTAAAGAGCTGTATTAGCGCAGAAACTATAGCAACGTCAGGTGAAATGATAGACACTAATCGTGTGTTCGTCGCGGAAACGAAGACAATCATGGCTAAAGAGCAAGCTCACAAAGACGAAATTCCTTTTAAATCGTCGGGGAATCACGGCGACTCGACGAGAATTGCCGTTGACGGGCGCGAGGAACTCATAGAGCGTCTCAACGATTACGATGCGACTGGCGATTCCGCGTGCGATCAGTTCCCGAAGTCTCGTTGGATACCATTGTCGCTTTATGATTACGACGCATCTTGCTCCGACAATTCCGAGGAATCCATGGAACATTTCGAGGACGACGTCCGGCATGATGACGCGGTTGCGCCGGAATTGGGTGTGAACGGTATACCGAGCGACGTGCTCGTGGCTTTCCAGCTCGCCGCGAAGTATGCACGCAATCTTCATCAAGCTGTGTTGCTGTACAACGAAAGTCTGATGTCACAGGAATCCGAGAGACAGAGCAAAACAGTTAGCGAGGATCACAGAACGATATTCGGGAACAATCGATGCTATGTCCACAGAAGCGCTTCCTTCCTGAGTTGCAAAAGCGACGGTAGACCTAAATCGAAACGTGACACAGAATATCAGCTGATCATGACGAGCGACGAGGACTTCGACAAGTTCTCCGCGTGCTCCTCAAACAGCAGATACTCCCTTCACTCGCATCAGTTGGAACTGCGGAACTTCGAGGCTCGTCGGACCAGTTCTCCCGAGATCAATCTGGAGGAGGAGAACGTCATTCTTCCGCAGAGAGTGGAAACCTCGATGAAGCTAGTGCAGAAACGCTCCGACCTTATGCTTGTGGACGTGAAGTCGTTCGTGCGACTGCTGGTACATCGCACGCCAGAGGAGCACGCACTGGAAGTGTTGAAGCTGGAAGAACTCGTGGAGGACGGTAAACTTGAAGACGACGAAAAAGTGAATGGCACCGCGGCGGTCTTCGCAAGCGAACTCGTTTCGGTTATATTGCGCAAACACTTGATTCCTCTTATCTACTGCCTTTTCTGCACTTTAGTGTTCTGGTACTTGCAGTTCTCGTTCACGTGCAACTCCATCTAATGATCTATTCGCAATCGTCTATCGCGGTATCAGGAGCATTAACACGTTCGTTTATTTTTATATGCAGTGACATGAAAATATAATCACATTTTAATTTTTCTAGTGGATTGACGTTACGTTTCATTTTGTTTCAATAAATACGTTCTCTGTATACCGCACGCGTTTCGTTTTCATAATGCTTGTCGTATATTTATTTGTCATTTATTTTTCGTTTTACATGCTATATAGAAAAATATAAACTTGCGAATGTGAAAAGGAATCTGGCGATACTGTGATGATCCTGAGAGAGGACCGATTAGATTAAATCTAATGTCTGTAAAACCCGCGGCACACGGTGCTTTTTTTCGTGCTGAATTGCTTGCTGAATGGAAATACTCTGTTCTGATTGGTGTATTCCTAAAGATAGATGGAAATGCACCAATCAAAATTGAGTATTTTCATCCAGCAAGCAATTCAGCACAAAAACAAGCATCGTGTGCCGCTGACTTAACACGCGAGCGACCAAAGACCTCGCTCGGTCTTCTTAGTGTAAGAACTCTGTCTTGTACATTCGTAATGTTATTATAACACTAAACAGTAAAGGTATCCGAATAAAATGACGATTCTAGCAGGATGCGCTTGCTCCGAATTAGAATCGAAGTTTCGCTCCAATCACATATCCAGGCGCTCACTCGGCATCAAGGACGTCAACGGTTGCGCAACCGGTGATGTCAACCAGCTGCTTCGAGGTGAAAGTGGCGATTATCTTTTGTTCCCCGGCTTTCTGGGGCACGAGCTGATGCTCCACGTAAACATCTTCCTGGGGCCCGACGTCTCGGAACACCAGAGTCTTGTTTCTGCTAAGACCGGGCCCGGCGTAATTGAACTTGCAGTCGGTCAGAGTCTTCTTCAAGGGATTCTTGAAGCTCAGTGAGATGGACGACGGCTTCCCGACCATCGGTTCACCTTCGATCTGTAGTGTTGAGCAAGAAGAAATTCATAAGCGTCAGTGTTAGCCAGACAGCACAAATGCATAAGCTCTTGCTTTTATTATATTATTTCAATTAAAATTCTATATTAATTTAAATCGTTACTTTTGCAAAAATTGTCTCAAGTGAGATACTTAGATTTTAATTCAGAGTTATATGTGAATTTTTCCGTTGAAGCGTTATACGATATATTACAGATACAATGTGTATGATTCAACTAAGAAAATTCAAATTTAATTCTAAATTAAAGTTCGAAAATATTTTATACGAGACAAATTTCAAGTAAGAACTATTAACATGGAGTTGAAATGTGTCTTAGAAAACTAAGACATCCAAAAGACTAAGATATCCAAAAACTAGTATTTTATAAGTAAACCTACCCAAAAGTTACACTCCGATTTCTTTCTAATTTGACACAAATTATAAAATGTAGAATTATAAATGTAGAAGTACAAAAAATATTTTCGTTATATTTTTTCATTTTGGCTCATTTCGCGGGCAGTTTATAGCTTTTTAATGTTTTTACTCCTATCATCAAGTGCAACAAAAATGTGATAGTTTGGAGGTAGTTTGGCAACATAATCAGATATAACAAATGCTGTGTTGGATTTGCTGCCTTTCTGCTATCAAAAATTTCTAGCAGGCTCTGCTCAAAATCTGTTTGCGCAGGTTTAGCTATCAGAGTATACAACTTTAAATTCAGATTTGCGTCCCTGTTTAAAATGTTAGGTACAAAACAATGACATATAAGGCTTAGTTCGAATTTCAATCTAAATCAATGTGAATCAATAAGACGACCATTAATTTAGATTAAAATTCAAGTCGAACATAATATAATCTTGTCGTTTTGTATTCGTCATTTTCAGCAGGGGTATCACACGTGAGGCACATTTCAAGTAACAATTATTAATATGGAGACCTATCTCCATTATTAACATAAGACCTATCTCTTGAATATTTATGCTCTTTGAGAGGAAGTATGCACGTGTACGACAATCTGAGATTTTTAACTTATCATTGCCGCACCTTAACGTCGATATTCGGTTTCAGAACTTGGAAATCGTCCTCGTCCGCCCAAGTTTGACGAGTCTCCTTGACTGTGGCGATGCAGTACAGCTTCATGATGCAGTACTCCACTAACTTGTCCAAGTAGTCATCCACCGTCACCGTGAGTCTTAATTGTTCGACTACGTCGGACAAAAAGTATGATTACAATTGCGCGTCGCATATGCACATTTTATCGCCACCAGACTATCCCCGCACAATAGAATCACATTGCACAACGATGCAACGATGTAAAGAATAAACTTATAATTCTTTTCATTCACCAATTAGCCATTGAATATTAATCACATTGTCTCCGAAGAATTCCAACGACATAATTAACGATGAATATAAAAGCCGAGTAAATCAATCGTCATCGGACGGTTTCGCAAGACATTCGCGATTGCAACGTTTCTGCAATGAAATGCTAATAATGAACGTTCTTTATTACATTCTACGCGAGAGTTTATCGACTTTATCTATTTTTTCAATCAAACAGACGCAAAAGACTAACGTGTGAAAAATGATATGTCCCTCCCTCTCTCTGTTTCTTACCAGCGTTCGGTTGAAGCACAAAGTCGCCGGACGCTCTCTTCACCAGGTGCGCCTTGACCCCGGTATAATAAACGCTGCCGGCGGACAAGATGGCCTGGATGGTGCGCCGCTCGCTAGATTTGTTCTTGATATTCACGGTCACGGCGAATGACTCGCCGATGTTCACACGCTCGAGCTCGGTGAGGTCGAACTCTACGTCCTCTTTACCCGGCGACGGCAACGAGTAGAACCTCTTCGCCATCTCGGTGCTGCGTACTGCCCTGTACAAGGTCAGTCTCTCGCCCTCGGTGCCTGGAAGTTGGGCAAAACGGGATCAGGACGGACACACTAGCCAAACCGTTCGGGAATCCTCAGCTTCAAACTTGTCGGATGTGAATTTCGTTCAAATTTCCGACAAACTCGAGAGCGATGAAAGAATCTTGGCGAGTCGCCACGTGAGATTTAGTTCCCGCTTTGTAGTCGCTTCAATAGACAGAAATTACCGCGGGGAAGAAAAGCTCAGTTCGTGTAATTGAATTTCGGTTCCTTAGGAATCGGACGAAAATTCGGTGACGGGAATATCGATGCCTCCGTTATTGTGAGCGAAAACATTTGTCTGAACATTTGATTTCATTGAAACTCTGTTGAAATAATCGAGAGCATTTTAATATTAGAATATTTTTATTTAACCTTTAGAATCCTGATATGTAAATTTATAAACGTTTCCCAAATAAATTGGAGACCACAAAATTTTCTGACTACGTTCTTACCACCAGAGTTCAATCTGCTATATAATGAAATCAAAATCTCATGCAATTTATCTTTTTTAAACATTATATTTATAATTAATACCCAAAACAAATGTGGTAACTGTTTCAAAATTTAATTATATTTTTCTGCATATTTTAAGGCTCTTTGTACTTTGGCGCGGTTGAATTGTGATGCCAGAAACGAAGAATTACATATTGACGAAAATTGCGTGCCATTTATAAATAAAGATAAATATGGATGAAAGAGCACTTGAGATTGTTTGAGCATACTTGTAAAATTGTCCAAAAGGTATCCCTTTCTCTTGACGATTAATAAATAGTCGTATAATAAATGGTAAAATGTGACATGTAGATAAAACAGATTTATTTCATCATTTATTATACGACTATTTATTGATTATCAGGGGGAAGAAGTATCTTTCGGATAATTACAAGTGCGCTAAAGCAATCTCAAATGCTCTTTCATTCATAATATAATATTCTATGTAGTTTAACATTGTCTATATAAAAAACGGTCGTATATACATCACGTAGACGATACGTAAACAATCTTCGTAGAGGTAATCTTGAAATCTAAGGTACAACCCTGCGATTAATTAAATAGAGATCTTTTACAGGAATCGCCCTGTTCCTACAAGTTTTCGTCCACAAATTTTCGTCTGGTTCCCAGCAAGCTTATTTTGTAATTATTTAACGCATGCGTGTCATAACTGTAACATAATAAATGCAACGACGTTTAACGATAACAATATTGTCTAAAAGTTACAGAACAAGCACACAGAAATGCAGGTATACGAATTTACAAGAGTGAATCGATCTCGCGTATTGCACGACGAGATCTTGAAGCGAGTGTACCTTCTTTGGCTTTGTAGATCGACGTGATGTCCTGCCTGTCCTTGTCGCCGTTGGGATCGAAGATCCATGGCGCCTTTGTGAGGATCATACGGCCGATGCTGCAAAGAATTCGCGGGTTTTCGCGGGATTAAACAAGCGAAATGCAACGTCCATTGGAAATCCACGAGGTGCGATGATAGACAATACATCACATACACGGTTACATTCATCTCGACGGGAATTTACCGAGAAACTCGACGGCGCTTCGCTTTACGTTGTCTACAACCACGACGTAAATATCTCTGAGCATCGTCGAATTATGCAAATCGCACGGTAGTTTGTACGACGCGCGTTTTACGGCGCTCCACGTTTCGAAGGACGATAGCGGTGACCGCGACTCGTCGCTGACGATTAATAAGCAGCTCGCGCTTCCGTTTTCGTCATAGCACTTCAGCCGTCATTCCTGCGTGCCCGGCTCGTATTTTTGCATCTCATCACGTTGCACTGTTCATCATAGCTATTTCCATCTGCGACGAATTTGCCTGCACGACGAACGTTCGCCCGGCGCGAGTGCATCACGTCGTCAAGTGAAGTCATCGCGAAGATGAAGAAGGAACGCTTTTCGTATACTGAGAGAAAAACACTTGAACATTTACTTGCGCGTAGGATATAAAGTTTATTTACGCACACACTTTTTATTTCACAGAAATAAACTTTATATCTGGCAACCAAAATTTCAAGTTTTTTTTTCTTATAAGAGAAGCTCTTGAAGTGTTTCATCGATTCTAAGTTTAGATACAAAATATAAAACTGTTATATAGAGGGTCTAAATAGTAAAATTTTCCATTGTACCTCTTAGCTTTGCGTTAAAAAAATGGCAGAATGCAGAATTTTATAATTTTCAACAATTTAATAAATAAAAAGTAATAATAAATTTTTTGCTAACTTTAATTGAAAATATTGACAGAAATTAATTTCTATCTAAGCACTATAATGCAAAATAGAGATAATTATCTTATTTTCAACTTTTATTCTAACTTGTTCTACTGTAAAAAATATGATGGGAGTGCTAAATCGACTTGTTCTTGAATTGAATTTAAAACCGAATAAATTTCACATTTTTTTACAGTGCGACTAATTTACCGGCAAAGATATTAAAATTTATAGATATTTAGACAAAGATATTAAAAAATAAATTTTATCTCACACAGGGTGTTTTGATATACTTTTTCATTGTTATTTCATTGAAATATTTATAATAAAATGTTTTTCTCAAAGTTGATGTATTTTTCTAACATCATAGAATTTAAATTTTCAATTTTTATCATACATTTTATCGTACGATAAAATTTTGCTTTTAAAAAGTCTATATCTATTCATATCAAGTCGAGTGAATTATAACGTTTTAAAATGAAAATTATAAGATTCTGCATGCTGTCATTTTTTTTAACACAAAGTTAGGAGATGCAAATAGAAAATAGAATTGTATTATATTAGTATTGTATAATAAATTGTATTATTTATATATAGATTTCCTAAAACAATGTTATATTGGTTTAAACTGAGAATAGATGAAACACTTCGGGACTTTCCCTTGTTAGTGTACTTACTGGTACTTGTTGCAGTCGATTTTCGAGTATCCCAGCTCGCTCTCCGGGTCTTCCTTCCATCTCATGAGGTCTGCGTTCACGGACGCTATCATGAAGGTCACGTCGTAGTTATAGCCAACGGCGCCTTGTCTGATGGCCTCCACTGACGCTGGGCCGCACTGGTAGAAGCTGTCCGATGGCTCCTGAGGAGTGGCGTCGATCGCTTGCCAACCCCCGTAACCCTTGGGCAGGTCCGGCCTCGCCATCCACACGTCGTTCCACACGTGATAGTTCCAGATGGAGTCCTCACCTTCGAGATTGTTCGGGTCGTACTCGAGCTCTTCGTTGTTGATGTCGTAGTAACGATCCACCGATAGCGAGGCGTTGGCGTCGTGCGCCGACACCAGGTTCGACACCACCCTCGAGGGGATGCCCAGGGCGCGGCACACTGTGGTGACGACCCCGGCGAAGACCCAGCATTGACCATACTTCACCTCCTGGCCGGTCTCCCAGAATTGCTCCAAGATAGGCACGCTGCCGGTCCAAGCGGCCGGCGCGGTACCATCACTATATTCGCCATCCCAGCGGCCGGTTATCACGCCTTTGTCGTCGTTGGAGTTCACCTAACGTTTCGAGATTGCTGGATGAAGAAGGAGCTTTCTTGGGGAAAGTAGTGAAGATGTCAGTAATAACAAAGCATCGGACCTACTTCTCGGAATTTTAATCTTACAGTTGTCTTTTGTAAACTATTAGAGATGCGTCGGAACTTGATTTTTAAATCCTCAAAACTCGAGTCCGAAACTTGAAACTATCCAAACTTGAAATGCTGATTAAAAACAGGAAGAGTAGTTGTGCATAAAACGGGTTCCTACATAATTACACTTTTCACAGATAAATATGATTATTTTTATTAGTGGAAAACAATTTTATCAACATTTTAATACACAATTTTCAAGAGAAGTATTTTTGGTCAGGAACTAAAAACTCGACAAAATTTGTTTTTAAAAAATCAAGTTTTTTTTTAAAGTATACAGAAACTAGAAGTTCTCTTAACAAAATTTTTCAACAGAAATCAAGTTTGAAATGTTTATTAAACATATTTAGGTAGAATATTAAACATAATTATATGGGAACTAGGTGAAAATAATTATTTTTGATTATGAAAAAAACTAAAACTAAATAAAATGTTATATTTCCGGTTTTGTGATTCCGAAGTTTCGAATATCCTATCCCTAGTTTCTATACTTGGTATATAGGTAAGTATTTGGAGAATGAGAAATTCTTGGTTTAGGAACATTGTTCCACACTGTCAATTAGCGAAATCTCCAGATTTGTATCGAACTTACTCATGACGCTGTTTGCACTTACGATTCTCGAGATCGCCCGAACCATCCGGACCGGGTCGCCCCTGGAAATCGCTTTGATACCGGATCTTTCAAGCAACATTTGGCAAGCAGGCAGCACACACGCGTCAAATTGTCCAAAGATCCATTCTCTACCACGAGAACTACCCATTGGACCCACCCAGATTTTCCCAACGTCATTGAGAATGTACTCGTCGAGTAGTTGTTCGTCTTCCAGGTATACTAAGTCCTCTGTTATTGAAAAATGAATAAACGTTGGCTTGTTTCTTTCGTGAAAAAAAATGCTATATAAAATTAAATTCCGGGCCAACATGAGCCAAAAATCAATTGGTCTTCACTTGCGATTCAGTCAAGGAGAATCTTAGTAATGATTGACACATTAGTAATTGAAAGTAATTGATTTGCATATTTTATATAAATTTGTTGTTATTTAACTCGTAAAGAGAGTTTAATTTGGAACTCTCTGTGTATGTTCAGATCATTTTCACGTATACAACGAACATTTTGATATAAAAGTAATCGTGTGATATTCTTAACTTTTTGAGATAAATACATATCTCAAAAAATATCATGAAACCTAAGAATAAGACTTTTACGATATGAATGAATAACTCTGTTTAAAATGTTGGGTATAAAATGATAAGAACGTTACAGTTTGAAATTCAATGTAAATCGATCATTACCTTATTGGTTCACATTAATTTAAATTAAAATTTAGGTTATAAATTATGTAATGTGTGTGTCATCGTTGGGTTCGTTATTTTAAACAGGGAAACCTTTGGATGTAAATAATAATCTTCGATATAGATAAATAAGACTTTTATGATATGAATTAAATTAGATTTTTGTGATACAAATGAAATAAGATTTTTACGATGTGTGTCATAACAGACGCATCATGAATGAACAAAAATGCAAGGAGTGAACAATAATTCAATTAACGCTTTCAATACCTTTGAGCCATGGGTTGAAGAGCAGATAGATATCCTTTTCGTAATTATAGGTATTCGGCGCTTGTTTTCTGCCAAGGGTGTTGGTCTCCACATTCAACTGCCACACTCCGACGGGACTGTCGATAGGGCTTCTGACCTCGATGGAGAGATCCATGCCATGAGAGCCGATCATCCGGACGCCCCAGGCCTCCAGGTCGGTGAGATAAGCGTCCCTGTTGGTAACCGTGTTCACACCTCTGGTCCCTCTCAGCACGTTCGGGTTCGGGCCGAAGCTGAAGAGCAGTCGCACGATGTCGGTCGCGTCCACGTATTCACGGTTGAACCTCAGGGCGACGTTGAAGGGTTGGCCGCGTCGGAGGATAGGAATAGCTATGTCCTGATGCACCATCTCGAAATTGAAGGTATGATGCGCCTCGGCGTTCTCCTTCTCGTACATGTGCACCGCCACCACCTCCAGCGGCTCTTGCGATGACATCTGAGAAGGTATATCGATGTTTAGTAATAAATAGCAGGAGAGATCGGGGCTATATGAAAATAATATTTGAAAATTTCGAAGTTATAACTTAGTAGACTTATTCTGTAATTCTTCCTAGCCAATGTCGCTAGCATGATGTGTCGTTGCGCACACTGAGAGAAAAATATAGTTGCTTTTGGCGTCAACTATACTCTTTTGCGGTTTTAACAAAAAAATAGTTAGAAAAACCATTGTTTTAGTAAGTGTTATTAGAAAGATGGTTTTTTCTAATTATTTTTATGGTTAAAATCACAAAAAGTATAGTGGACGCCGAAAGCAACTATATTTTTCTTTCCGTGCAGTTTTTCTTACCATGTATTAAACCTGCGCTACGAAGTTAGAGAATCGCATAGCAGAAAACCGCAGAGATTTGAGTGTCGAGATTCTTTTTAGCTGACCCAATGTCTGATTATCGTTAAAATGACAGACTTTGTGTACATATAAGTATGACTCAGTGCACTGACCGCGATTCACTGTTGCGCCTGAATAGAGACCCGTTTGCGGATCTCGGACGTGCGGTCGGTATCCGCATTTGATTCACCCAGCGTTCGTTGCGCAAAAGTCCGGGAAAAATCACACGGATGCGTGATCCACCTGGCCGATCCGCGTAGCCACATCCCCTAAAGGCCACGATCGATTGGCGACATCGATCGCGGCGCGCGACCTCGATCTCGCTGATTCACACCGATTTGATCGGTGAAATATAGGGTTCCACGTAGGAACGTGACAAACGCACTCTACTCGCCTCTAGAGATATGCGATTTATGAAATTATGTGTCGCGATACGATCTTTTTTAAAAATCGCAATGAATGCGATATATCGCATCACAATTGTATCGTAAATATAATTTTAAATCAATTTAGTATCGTAAGTGCGATTCTATGTCGCTGATGCAATTTTTAATCATAAGAGAATCTGGGACATGGGAAACCGTAATGTTTAAATAAATATTAAACATATCTCTTCGTACTGCATTAATATATTCTTTGAAATGTCCATTATAAGAAAACATAAATTTTACTGTCAAAAGAATAGTTAAAAATGAAAACATAATGAAGTTAAATGGTGTTTTTTGAAAAACATCCCTTCACCTCATTATGCTTTTTATGCAAGACAATATACAATAAGAATATGCAATATAAAACATGCAATATATAAGAATATGTTATTTCATGTTTAATTAATTATAATTTATTAGTAACATTTTTCTTATAGAACAATAAGATGACTTTTTATTATCTTTTTTCATTAAAATATTAATGACAATTAATATATATATTAAGTATAGCAATCTTTGGTAATTCTTTGAAATATATGTAACAAATATATATAACAATTATATATAAAGAGAAATACTGCATTTAACATTTTATATAAGTCTGTTATAATGACATAATTCCATTATAAATGTATGTTTGGATTAGATAGCATAAAATACCTTAGATTATCGCAAAATATTTTCGCAGAACTAAAATGAGGAGTAACTTTAAATTGCAATCGCAATTTTGAATTGCAAGCGCGATTTTGCGATAAAGGTCCAATTGCGTAGCGCATTGCGATTCAAGAAAAGGAAATTACAGTGCTTGCGATATATCGCAAAGTTCCTACTCGGCTCAAGCATTCCCGACCTTCCGGCAAATCACTGCGAAGCCATCTCACGCATAGTGTATCGATCGTAAAAGTAGAAACCGGTATTCAATTCCGGATCCTTCTCGTTCGAATTAATCATATTGCGTAAGAAACCTGCGCGTCCGTTCATTTTATCGATAAGTTTTGTATACCGTGACGCTGTGATCGACTTTGTGCGCGTATCGCTGTTAACTTCAAGCGCGACTCGAAAGTCCGTATGATTAAAAAGACAGGCAAGTGTGTAAGTGATTTCTCGGCTAACGTGGATCGAGCGCTTCGCTTGACCTTTCACTCTTTTTGATAAACGAATAGATTGGAGATTCGGAATTGAGTCACATTTTATTGCGAGACGATTTTTCTTCGTGACATTTCTTAGTTATCTTAGTTATCAGTTTCTGCCAGAGAGCTGATATCTTTTGCAATAGTAATTTAAACTTAGATTTATATTTAAATTACCGGACAATTCAGGAGAATTAAGTCACATTTTATTCGGACGATTTTTATTTCTAATATTCTTATTAGTTTTTGCTTAGGGTTCATTTTTCGATATGGTAGTTTAGATTTGAATTTAAATTTAAACTTAACTTAGAACATAAGATTAAAAAGAACGTAGAGTTAGTATTCGAAAATAATAACAATTAAATTATCTAAAATTTTATATAGGTAAAATTTAAATTTTTGGCGTTAAATATTTTCATTTCCCCAAAGATACAATTTCAATATTTGTTATTAATATAAAAATCCATTATTTAGAAAGAAACAAAGAAAATGTGAAGATAGTACGATATGCTAAGCATTGTATTGCTAAGCATTGTAAAAACTATATTTTTTGTATATCCTTTTCTTAAAAATGACTTAAGTATGATAGCATATTATTTAATTTTTTATTACAACTATAGAAAAAATAAATTGAAACTCTATTCCAATGATAAGTTGGAACAGAGTCTAAACAGAAATCTAAATTTAAATTATTATTGAAAAATCGACTTTCAGTGATTCAATGTATAAAGTCGTATGGACGATGGATCAGTGACCAATTTTAATTCTCTTCGTTGGAATTTTGTCTCCTATATGTCCTACTTACGAGCCAGAGTCGCTTAGCACGACTTAGGCACGTGGTCTAATGTATGCGTTGTTCCTCCTAAGAGTCATTTTAAATAAACGCATATGTTCCGTGTAATTAACATGTTGACTGTCATGCTGATTTCCATTGATTATTTCAATGTTCAATTCAAGTATGAATCACTATATGTGATAAATTAGTTAAATGTGATTAATTAGTTATAATTTGCGGTACACATATTCGTTATTTATTACGTCGGTTACGTTTTATATAGGATATCTCAGACTCTTCTTCGTAATTTTTGTAGGAACGAATTGAGATGAACATGAAAGTCCTGTACCGTTTTGCGATATTCCCATTAACAATCGAGATATTAATTCAATCAATCAATTTTATTCATACTTCAGCTTACAGCCAAGAAATAGGGACTTGGTTTACAATTTATACCTTAACTCACACAATCGAGATATTAATTAAAAAAGATTGGTGAATGATCACGATATGGTAGATGAGTTGTAGCAGCGATGTGTGCTGTTGTATGCTGTTTTATATTAGATTAAAATGAACAAAAAGCCTTTTATCATTTTGCAAATAACCACAATTTTTAGTTGTTAATGAAAGAAAATAGTTACATGATTGTGCGCGATATATATAACGCACAAGTCTTTTTTAATTAATATCTAAAAATCTATGTGGTCATTTGCAAAATGGTAGAGAACTTTTTTGTTCAGTTTGACCTAAATATACAACGGTAGGCGGCACCATTATCATATTACGGCTCATCTACCATGTCACGCGTAATCATTCACCAATCTTCGTTAATTAATATCTCGAGATTTATTGCGAATATCGTAAAACGGCATGGGGCATTTATGTTCAATCTGTTCACTTCAATCTGTTCTACGTTCCTATAGAAATTGCGGAGGAGAGCCTGGGACACTCTGGATATAAATTGGTCATAGTTACACAAAAATGATCCAACCCAAGAAATCACGATTTTTTAATTTTTGTTACCAATGGGTAGTCTTTCTGTATACGAGAAAGGTCCAAGCCTTATGTTAAAATTAATTAAAAAACGCGCCTTATGTTAAAATTAATTAAAAAATAATTTTTATTTTCTACTAGTTGCGCAATTTTTTATCAGTTGCGTCTTTTTACTTATTTTTTATAACTTAAACGTGTCAATGAATACTCTTAAAGAGAAGAAAATTGAATATCTTTGACTTCCTGGAAGATTGCGAAGAACCTCAGTGCTATCTATACTTTTTAAATTATGTGTCAAATCTTTATCTTTATTTTTTTGAAATATACTTCATGTGAATTGAATCATTCTTTCATAACTACGATCAATTAACGCCGATTACTAGTTTGGCAGTCAATATATTAGATGTGAACATAAAACGATTAACTAATCATCGCTTGACGTGTTACGTGTCAATTGACAAAGCAGATCAAATCTTAGAAGATTTTAGAATCTCAGAATCTTGGAAGATTTTACCTCATTGATCTACTCGTTGAGATTTTCTTGTCGGATTATCGCTTTTGTTTTAAGGGAGAGGAAGCGGGTGTTTTCAATTAAAGATTGTTATGAATAAGATAAATGTTCTCCGACCAACCTTGTACTCGGATCCGGTAAAAATGCAACGGAGAAGGAATCACGAAACACCACGAGCGACAAACGTTTAATGAGAAAGTTACACAGCAACGCGCACTGACGTTCGCAAACGTGTCCTGCCTCTTATATGAGGCGCAGCTTCCGACGAAGTGACCGCAGAGTCCCCACTACACGGCAATAATCGTGTGTAACTTTTAGATCTCTTGAGCAAACGAGTTGCGCGTAACCCTGAATAAAAGAACGGTCGATCAAGTCTTTAATCGTTTATCTATCGCTCAAGCCGAAAAACCGATCGAAAAACGGTGTTTCGAAGATTTCTTCTCGGGGCGGAGTGGAGGTTGCGACGTGTCTTCTCCTTAAGAGAAATTAATTTCGTTAGGAGAAAAGTAAGGGCGATATTCATAGATAGATTTTATATACGTAGAGAAAAAGTATCTAAAACATAGAAAATATTTAAATTTAATTTAAAATTTATTCTGCGGGGTATTAATAACTTTTAATAACCTCCTTAACGTGGAGTTTAAAAATTCTTTTGTTTAAATAGAATAAACAATGGCTTTCATGAAAAATAACGATTTCAGGAAAATTTATATTTCTCTTTCGAAGCAAATGTTTTCTCAATGTAAAAATATGTATATTAGTATAAGTAAATATGTTATTAGTACTCACTGAATAAATATTTTTTATTTTTCAGATTATTATTATTTTTTATTATAATTATTTCTTTTCTCAGTGATTATTATTATTTTTTCTTTTAGTGTACTTTTAGATCCTCTTAAGTTCACTTCTTTAGGTACTGTGCTATGGTTTTAAGAAAATTTATATGTTCTCTCTTTAAAAAAGTTTTGTTTTATTGTAAAAATATGTATAATAGTACGAGTAAATTTATTAGTACTCATCGAATATAAGTATATTTAGATATTTTTTTTCTTTCAGTGTACACTTTGAAAAAAATATTTGAAAGTTTATTTGTAAGACATTTATAGTTTATAAAGTTTATTTCTGTAAGATGAACTTTTATTCTGTAAATAAATTTTTAAGTATTTGTTTCTCAGTGTATGGATACTAATCTGGGCTTCTGTTAATTTCAAATCATAGAGGACGCAGCCATAGAATTGTGGAAAACTTTATATAAGATCTCTTATTTAATTAAGAGAGAAAGTAGAATTAATTGTATTCACAGTATTATTTGCAGCGCGCACAAGTAGAATATATATATTTTTTTAATTACACGGAAATGAAGCTGGAAATGGGAATCGTCAACTTCCTTCGACTCCCTAACGCGCGATAAGGTTGCAGGGTTCAATAATGCATTGTCGACCGGAACGAGATCCTTAATTGGAGGGTCGTTCTTATCTTATCCACCTACGATGTAGCGGTAATTAACACGATAAATCGCAGACTCTCGTGAGTGGGTGGGTTCCAGTTGCGGTTAGCAGCCGATTACCCGAAAGCATTGACGGGGAAATTATGCGTGGAAGGAAACTGAGTATGAGCTTACACGAACACGATACATAATGTTTTCATCAAATTTATTTGCGTTCTGTGTATCGAGCTACACAAATTACGTAATAAATTATTGGTCTGTCTGTAGTTTTTGGATTCCCTCTCGCCACGCTCGTGTTCGCGTGCGCGCAACAATTATGAGATCCGATTACGGACACGAATCTCTCTCTCTCTCTCTCTCTCACTCTCTCGCGCACACACACACTCTCTCCCTCTCTCTCTTTCTACATATTTTGCGGCCACGCAAAAATTTCTTAACAAATATTAAATCTTCCTCCCGATCTGCGAGCTGCGCTTCGGATATCGCGCTGAAGTTCCTCCGCATACTATGATTTTCCAACATAGACAGGAACGACTATTAATAGCTTCCAATTTAATGTGTGATTTTCCAATTTATCGTATAATTCGTTTCGCACGAGAATAGTAATAATTGAAACGCGACAGAAATACCCATGCAAGAGAAATTATGAAATTGCAACACTTAAATATCGAATAACAAGTCAATTGTAACACGCAGAGGTAGAGTGCGGAAAGTGATACGTGTAAAAATGACAGTGAACGCTTGTGTCACTGAATTTCCTACTTGCATTATATATATCGCCTTCGATATGGCGAAGTCACTTCATGGCGACATACAAAGCGCAGCTGTCTGACGTTAATTTCGCCGCACACACACACTCGCGTATCCTTAGATAAATGGACCGTGTGTTGAGCACCCATCTAAAATGTCTAAAAACATTACGGTAAGGCAAGTAGCAGTCGTACGTAAACAAGAACGAGGGATACTACTGACTACGTAATACAATCAACTAATGCAACATTCGCTTCGGGTAATTTCCGGATCGGGGATTCACCGTCTTGTGTATGTTTCGTGTCTTACTTCGTGTCATCCCTCGCGCTTTCGCGGCCTCCACGCATCGCGCCGTTTACGTGCAAAGCACACCCTCCGATGCCGCCGATTCGTTCGCGGTGTCGATCACGATTTCGCAATCATCTGCGGAAATCCGACAAAATTGCCAATCGGCGAACCTTCGAAGATGAGCGAAGAAATATAACGCGGAAGTAAATTGAGAATTAATTGACTATTACAATATAAATCGTATATATGAGTACATATAAATACATATTTACGCTGAGAGAAATACTCAAAAATTTATTTGTGGAATAAGATAAATGTCCCGATAATTGAACCTTATCCCAATGATTGAAACATTAAAAATATATTTGTATTTAATATTTCTGAAAGTCTTTGTGAAATTTTGTTGAAAGAAAATATTTCTTTATAATTTAATTATAATTTGTAATATTATTTAATAATTATTCAATTACTAAGCGTATATTGTTCAGTAATTAGAACATGGTATATTTTTCAGTTTAATTACTGGTACAAAATTGGCATTATCTAACATATCTCATTAAAATTATAACTAATATTTATATTAATATTTATTATTTATTAATGATTATTTTATTTCTTATTATTTCTCAATCATTGATAAAAAAATCAAGGTTTTATATAAACATTTATTTTCTTTGTAATTTCATTAATTATTTATTAATAAAAAAGCAAAACTGATCGTGTTTACTTATTAGTTTAGTTATTGGGACATTTACCTTATAAAGTTTATATCTGTGAAAATAAATTTTCATCCCGCAAATAAATTTCCAAAGTATTTTTTTCTCAGTGTACGTATATTTATATATTGATATTAATATTTTATATATATAATAGTAATATTACTAATTATATAGTATATGTAATATTATATATATATGCATGTATTAATATTTATTATATATATTAAAATGTATATTAATATATAAATCAAATATTAAGTGTGATAAAACATTGATTAATTATCGAAGTGAAATTTTAATTTGAAAGAATTCTGAAGATATTCGTCAACTGTGTTAAAAAAATCTATCATGAATTTTATTCGGTGAATTTCTTGGTGAAAAAAAATCCTTAGACTCGTAGGATATCGACCTGAGTATAAATATAATATAAATCGTATTTTGCCGAATAGAAAATTCCATCGGATTTCTACATTGCGATTGCAGGTCGATGACCGACACCCTAGATATAGATAACGCCGTCTTATGAAAGTCCGTCTCCAACGTGCACTTTGGCATAATTCTCTTCTAAATAGCGGGTTTTAATATCAAGTCCTAATATGGCGGAAAAGCTGTACGAGCGCACGACAATCACAGGAGCAAGCGTGTCTTCGTTTGTGTGTGACTTCTCACTCGGTTTCTACCAAATTTGGCACTGGACTTGGCTGTCGCGTTTATTGGCTACAATCCCCGCAAACATCTCGACGTCCTTTGCGAATTTATCTCGGAATCGATTCCCCTCAGTTTCCGGCACGAGATCGCTCTGGCAACTTCGACTACTCTCTCTCTCTCTCTTGCGCATTGAGGAGTTTGAGAAACACAATGACAATAGATGACAATGATCATAACAGAGGAAGGAAGAATTTTTATCTATTCGTCATTTCCGCGTTGGATTTTCCACAATCTTTCCTCTTGTTTGTAAATAAAAAATTCGACGGATCTCATTGATAGTCTCTCGAGAGACGGGCCGGAAACGAGTTCTCGGGTTTACCTTATCGAGACAAACAAGACAAGTGAGATGAGTTTTGAGACTGATATCTATCGCGATTCTTTTGTGCATCGTGCCGATACGCGAATTGAAAAAAAACGATGATAGATGACAAATTCCGAGAATGCAGCACGTGACAAGGCTCGCGATAGAGCGGGCTTGAAAGCTTATCGAGATGTCCGACTAAAAGCGATTCGTGTCTGCCTCTCGTGCGGGTGCTCGCGTTTATTAGCGCATTACATCGGAACGTACCGGTTTCCGCCTTTAATGAGTCAGTAACAATGAGACGTATCGGGCGTATGTATATGTGTGTATATGTTTCTCTCTTTCACTTCACTCGGCCTCCACGAGACCGATTTCGCTGTTGTGAAACGTACGCGTTTGTTTTTCTGCGCGTCGCGAGACGGAATATCGACGCGCATGAAGTCAAGCGCGTCTCCCGTCTGGCACGCAAATAGGAATACCTCTTGCCCCGTTCTACGTTTCCGTGATTTTGTCGAAGGAGAAATTAAGCAGAGAGAACGAGTGAATTCCGAATGCGATCGTCCGATCGGCACCACGCCGCGTTTTCGCGCGAGTAATTCAACGAATTCAACAGCCACTCAATAATAATGGAAACGGCAATAGCAACGGTCGATAGAGAATCGAAATTTAAAATAACCGCAATATATACCGTGTTTATCGAATATGTCTCACCATACACGTATATATAATTAATAATAATTAAAAATAACACACACACACGTATATATTTACATACATATACACATATATATGCGTGTGTGTGTGCGCGTATGTGTGTACCAACGTAGAAAACAACGTTTAAGGGAGTTTCTTCTCTTTACACTTTCCTAAATATAGCTAATTAATGTAACAGCACTTCTCTTAGATCCCATATTGAGCTCGAGAAGAGAACGATCGCGCTTACCGATTGTTTCCTCCATTCGTTCCATCTCTTTTGCGAGCGAAAAATTTTGAACAATCATCATCGTCCCGGCGCGTGTTCGTGCGTTTTGCGTACAAATCGTGCTTCCGACACTTTCTTCGCAAGAAGCGGTTTCGCGCTCAATTTCCTATTCAGGAACGAGAATTCGCACGGTCAAGCGCGATCGTTGCTCCGCGAGACGCATCCACGATCCTATTATCACAGTCAACCACCTCCTTTCCCATAACCACGAATATAATAACACCTCTGATTTTCTTTCTTTTTTTATTTTTGTTTTTTTTTCCGAACATTCCTCGTTCCGTAGGAAAGCAACGTAGGAGTGCAACGGTTTCGCGATTCGTCCGAACGAGTGAAAGATTTCGCGAGCACTTTCACGTGCGAGTCGTTTATCTCGAAAGTGCGCCAAGGGATAAAACCTCGATAGAATAAGTAACGGGTTTGCTTTATGCCCGAAACTGTCCCTCAACACGAAACTCGAATCGATACGCGTCCGAAAACACAATATAAAGTAAAATTTCCCCCTTAATACAAATACAATAGTTAAATCAAAAGTGTCCCAACTCTTTAAAAATCACTACAAAAATATTTTATTTAGATATTCTCCCCAACATTTTCACGCTGAAAGTTCCAAGTAACGACGAGATAACTACATAACAAAAATTCTAATCACAGCCATTTTCGTGTCCTTATAGTGCCTCTTCAGCTCTTTGGGCATTGTACGTATAAAAGAAACAAACACAAATAAAAAGTTTAAGATTTTATACCCGACGCGTTATTAATGGCCAATTGAATGCAAGTAGACTAAACTGCGAATTTGTATTCGCCACATCGCATATCTACGCTTTAATCGGATCCTCAAGATTTGGCGTGTTCACTGAGCTCGAGATAGAGCCACTTTCGATATAGAAGACTCGCGTAATTACCTCGAATCCAGAAGGAAATATACGCAGTCGTTACTTCCAGAAACAATCGAGAACGCAATAGGAACAGTCGCGCACAGAAGAACGCGAATTCTCGCGTATCTCTGGATCCATCCGAGGGATGCGCAGTTTAACCCTTTCAGTACCTTTCAGTTAGACATAGAAGAACGTTAACAGTTTCCCCTGATTCATAGAGTTTCCTTATGATAGGCTTTGTGCCTGTTTCGCGTAGCATCACGTATTCTTCCAAAGCGCACCGTGGGATACAAATATACAAACGCTAATACTCAGACGAGAATCATCGCTCTCTCTTTTGTTTCGTTTAGACCTTCCTCGATTTGTAATTTGTGTTGCGTTTTAAGTTACGCTATGACGTGCGAAAATGCACGAGAATCGGCCACATAATGCTGTACGAATCCAAATCAACGATTTCAAGATGGTGTTATTGGTCGAAAACGTAATTGGCAGAATTTGAAGGGATCGTTTCACTCGACTGGGAGTTTGAATCGTAAAAATTGCAGGGTAACCGAGTCGAATTTGAAATTGAAGTGAGAAACATCGCGACGCCTTCTTCTTATCATTATTCGCACTATTTACATTTGTAGTTTTATCATTATTCAGTGTAGAACGTGTCATACAATCCTTCCCTGTCTTCACTAACAGTGCACTCTCGAAGCATTGCCCAGCGATGGCGGGGAAAATCAAAGTCGAGGCTGTTTTTGCCGGAACCCGGAAATGAATGGGAGAAAGCGCGATGACCTGATCGAAGTTTCACCATTGTCAAATGCGAGTTTGAAGAAGGTACTGAAAGAGTTAATGTGGCGGATAAAAAAGCGAATTCCCTTATATTTCGGTCGATACTTATCGCGAAGGTGAAGCATCGTCTCGCTTGGCGCGCGCGCATGCGCGCTTGATGTCGAGATACAATTAATCACACAATTGTGATGCGCTATGTAATAAGTGTCGACTTCTTTTAGTATAGCAGCGGTGAAATAGAGTAGTTTTGCCCGACTAGCTCGAAATATATAATTAACGAACAAGTATAATCGCGAAATATGCATTATTATTCTATATCTGTATGTATAGATACTTTATATATATATAACTATGTATATATATATACGTATATATACTATGTATATATACATATATCATTTTGTTCATTCTGCTTCTTCTGCCGTACCCCGGGGCTTAGGTACACACGTGACTAGTTCATGAAGAAAAGAAAACAAAACAAAAGTGAGAACCTTCGCTCGCCGCGCACTTACCCTCGTCGCTTCGCGTGTTGCCTTTACATATGTATCATGTCTGTTTGTGTATGTGATTGTGTATCTGTATGTCTGCCTATGTGTGTATGCGTGTGTGTTACGTTACACATATGCGTCGATGCTTAACGCGCGTGTGCCGTTAAAGCGGTCTAAACCAGACGCAGACGCTCGATTCTATTCGGTCGTTTTCGCGTCACTCGAGGCTCGTATTAAAATACGCAGATTTGCCCCAAAGTCTCGTTTAACGAGCTGTGTTCGTAGACTGTCGGACCTCGGAAGCTTAGATGCTACAATGATAATAACGTGATAACGACCGCGCGACTGACGCACCGCGACGAATCTTGGCGGAGCACCGGTCCCGTTTCGCCGGTAAGAACGCGGCGATGACGAAGACAATGGCAACGAGACATTGATAACGACGACGGCATTCTTCAGGAGGCGACGTCCCGCGTGACAGCGAGGCAACGGGGCCTCGTGCTGTTCCGCTGAATTGAATCGTTTAGCCTGATCGTGGGCTAACTCGGCGCGTCTTCCGGCTCCACCACGTTGCCGGACATGGCCGGGCCCGTCTCGCTACCCTGGCTCATCGTCACAAACTGCTGCGACAGCGTTTGCAGACTTTGACGTACCTGCAAGTAAGCGGATTTGTGAAATAACCGGTGGAGAAGATCATTCGTCCTTTCAGAGAGTAAATGGGAGACGGAGGGATAAGACGAGAAGGTTGCTTTCCAGCAAAAGGCAGCAAAGTCATTCCATTGGCCACATATTAGCTTAATCTCAATCCCTTCGCTATCAGTATCTTCGGCACGAGTGGAACCAAATTCCCCGCATTAACCAGCATTAAATAAGTTAATTGTGACGAATATATATGTACAAAAGACTTTCGAGGTCGTTAAATAAGCTAAATAATTAACTACTGTTAAAATTGATAAATTCAAAATAGCTGATCCAATATAGTGGATAATAGGATGAAAATATGAAATAACAAAAAATTATTTATCTCTTTTAAATCTTAATTGATATAAGTTTGTTTAAAGTCACATTGACTGCGAATTTAAAATAACAGATCCAACATAGAGAGCTAAAGTATGCAAATATTACAAAAATATATATGAGCACTATTGTTATCAACGAAATTTATAAGAGTGAAATAAATTTAAACTCGAACAAACTAAACTAAAAAGTTAACTAAAAATTCTTCATAATTTTTATGATTTAATTAGTTTTTAAACAGTAAATATGTTAAAAATAATATAAATCTATTTATATAGTAAATAGTAACTCAGAAAAAATGTTTTTTATAATTTTACGTTAATAACAGAGGACAACGAAAAGAAAAATTTTTTTTATTAATGATATATATCATTAATGTCCTATACGTGAAAGGCAAAGAGATTCACGAAAATAAAGCATCCCGTACATGAGAGGTAAGAGGATTCACGAAAATTAAGTACCCTGTAATATAACAATATTTTGTTTATTAAATGTTTTTATATGTTTTAACACATAAATGTACATGATTATTGTTTTTAAGCTAAGAAAATTTAATTACAGTGTACTATGTACATTGAATAGAATACATATATCCTATGTAGAAATATGAAAAATGTTTTTGAGCTCCTTTTTTACCTGTTATAAAATGTTATAAAAACTTGACGTGCTGCGTTATTTTAAAAGTCATATTCGGTTTCAGCACGTCAGCACGAAGTATATAAAGAATAGTGATTCTCTTTTAAAAAAGTTTTTTATTTCTTTGGTCCTGCGTAATCCGTTTATGACATGTATGCGTTATCAACACTGCGGGCCCATCTCGTTCATGGCGCCTATATACGTCATCGACAGTCAAAGTGTTGAGAAGATATCTAGCCGATGAAACGACTTTGCTATTTTTCGCCGGAAAGCAACTTTCTCTCGCTTTGTCTCTCCGTCTCATTACTGCGAGAGAGTCGTGTATCGACGATCGATTGACGAATGTGAAGGGGACATCTCACCTTGATTATCTGATCCAAGTTCGTGTTGAGATAATGCAGCAGTCGGTCGTGCGTAAAACGCTCCGGCGAGACGAGCGGATGGTTAACGTACACGGTGTGCAGATTCTCGATGCGCATCAACATCACAGCCGCCGACACGTAGAGAACCATCAGGAGAATCGCCAAGAGCATCAGTATCGTTATCAACGTGCCAGGCTTCCATCCAGCGAACAAGGATTTCAATATGCCGAGTCGGCCCGGTATCGGCGGCCTCGTCAATACTGCGCTCTCCAGTCTGAGGAAGAGAAACGAGATTGAGTGGAGGAAGATTACCGACGTGGAAGAATGTCATCTCATCAATTCACACACTGAGAAAAGCGAATGGTAGAACCAACAAGACTTGACGCGCACGAAGAAAATTTGTTTGAGCAAAGTTTAGTCGATTGAACAACGTAATTGCTGCAATGAGTTATCTGTTGGTTCAATTATTCGGTTTGCAATTATATCAATGTAAACCTATGATTCTTTTCAGGAGATACAATATTTCTTTGAATACACAAGGGTGATTTTACTAATAAAAAATAAGGGGCTAATAAGAACGCTGTTATGGAGCTTGAATTTTTCTCCTCTCATTTTCAATTAAACAGAATTACAAAAAGAATACAATCATGTACGTTTCGATCGTGACTTTCGACCATCTTCAGCAACTAATACTAACAAAATAATAATTACAATCAAGGATGATTTTATCAATTATTTTCTCTTAGTGCAATTATTGCTCTTAGAAGCAGGTCTTGATTAGTGCAATTTCGAATAATGCAAAGGATTTCGAAGCGACACGTTATCCGTGACGATTAAAGAAAAATGGGAAAATCTGCTTATCTGAGTATCCGATAAATCGGATTCCGGAAATTTCGTATTATTTGTTTTCAAATGTGGTATTGGAATACTGCATTTAATTAAAATACGATATTAACGCGGGTAACGAATAATCCACGGATTACGGATATCTGTGAATAACTGTTTCTCGTAAATATTAGAAATTTTGGAGAATTTACAGTCAAAGTGATATGTATCTTTACTTATTTACGACGCTCACAAATAAGCAATATTTACTTAACCGTTTAATATCCGTTAGCCTCGAATATCACATGGGTGTATATCATTTTGATTGTACACACAAAAAGATATACTGCATTTAAGTGAATGTTACTTGTTTTAAATATTTCATAAAAATTTATACACTCGTAAATCTATCATAAATAAATAAAAAATAAATAAAATAAAATGTCTGTTCCTTATAAATTTTTAAATCCTTTGACTATCATCTGGACTAAATTTTGCATAGTTACCTTCTAGAACACTATAGGCTAACTATAAAACTTGGATATAACTCCATCCCTTCTTCTGATTTCATCCGCTTGATCCTTTAATCTTTAGCACTTGACACTGACAACCCGGGCAACGGCATATAGTTTCATTTAGTCTATATATATAAACTTCATTATAAACATAAAATTGATTTAAAATACATTCTGAATCCCTGCAAGTTTAGTACTTCAATCAAAAATATTCAATCAAAAACAAAAACTCGATTTGCTTGCTACATAGAATTGAACCAACTGTTTCTTTTATAAAATTTTATAGTATTCTTGTAAAGAGAATACACACATATATTCTTCTTTTGAGTGACGAGCTTTTCTAAAATTTGGGACGAGTATATTTTAGGAAACATTTGTCCAGTATATTTAAAGAAATATATTCATTTCAAATATTTTAAGTATATTTCCAGCAAAATATTCTTTGTTGAAAATAGCCATTACTTAAAAGAAGAAAAGTAAACTAAGTGATCGATTTTCTTTTATCAGTAGATTATTCACAGATATGCGTAGATAGCGCAAAGTAATATACATCCATGTGATATCGTAGATATCCTAGGCTAACGGATTAAACGGTTGAGTGAATAGTGCTTTTGCGAGCGTTGTAACAAGTAAACATGCATATCATTTTGAGACTGTAATTTCTCCAAAATTTATAATATTCACGAGAAACAATTATTCGTATCAGATATCCGTAATCCATGGATTATCCGTTATCCGCGTTAATATCGATTTTTTTGCTAAATAATAGTATTCCGATATCATTTGGAAACGGATCATTCAAAATTTCCGATATTCACGAGAAATGATTATTCACAAATATATGCAGATAGCGGATATCCAGATGATGTACCGCCAATATTTAGATTCGTATTTAGATTAAACGGATTCTACCCACCCGAATATTTTGCATGGATATCCGAATTAGGCATTCACTTCTACACTAAAACAACTAATAATTATCAGTAAATATACTTAATTACAGAATTTAAGTAAAAATTCGGTAACTAATACCAAATATGATAATATTAACCAAATACATAGTAGATTTGAAAGACTTTTCATTACAGTTAAATAGACTTTAGTAAAGATTTTAGTAATAGCTACCAAATATTTAACTGTTACTGAGTATTGGATGACTATTATCGGATATTTGATAAGTGTTATGAAATCATTCAATTCTGTTTGATGAAATATTTTATAATTATTAATATTTATTTTTTAAAACAAAGAAATATTTGGTGATTATCGACTGTACTTATATTAATTATATATACTATTGCTGAATTGTTTCCAATTTAGATTCGTATTTAGATTAAACGGATTCTACCCACCCGAATATTTTGCATGGATATCCGGATTAGGCATTCACTTCTACACTAAAACAACTAATAATTATCAGTAAATATACTTAATTACAGAATTTAAGTAAAAATTTTCATTTCGGACATAAGCTTCAGTAATAATTACCAAATATCTTATTGCCTGTTACCAAGATTTGATATTAACTTCCAGAATCTAATTTAACGACTTAAATGTATAGTTCTTGGTTCTGAGAGAGCTCTATACATTTATTTTATATATCACTTTTAATTATCACTTTATGTTTGGCCCGCATTATCTGACTGAGTAATTTAGCAATAGCTACCAAATTTTGATACTTGTTACGAAATTCTTTTTTCCAGTGTAGTGCTGATCGAAGTTCGCCTGCAATAGACATGATTTCTCTTCAGCAAGAAGAAAACTCACCTGGCGGCTGGCAAACTCGGCCTGTTCACCGCAATTGATGCGCCGTCGGTATCGGTGCAGATAGTCGGCGGTCTTGAGGTGATATCGGTGCCGCTCTCGGACATACTGGAATCGTCCTCCTCGGGGTTCACCCCCTCGGAGTCGTCTATCTGCGACACGTCGGGCGTGAGGAGCTTTCTATCGTCGGTGAGAACGTCCGGTGGCAGAACATCCGACGTCCGCGGTTCCATCGCCGCGTCCCAGACCTGCTTCATCAGCTTGAAGGTCGAGTCCCTCGAGAGCAGCGAGCAGAAGACGTGACGTTCCTCCTCCGTCGCCACCGCCACCGCGTTCGGTATGATACGCGCGGTCTTCTCCTTGCTGATCTTGAGCACCGACACCGTCGGTATCAGCAGCTTAGTCACGTAGCCGAACACATTGCTGTAGAACGCGAAGTAGTTGGGCGTGATGTACAGGTGACCCTGCAGCAGGATGTCGCCGACCAGCGCGCAGCTGTAGTAGTTGAGCACGCGTTCGTCCTCAGCCACCTGATCGCGAAATTTCGAAGACTATGCATTAGGTCGATTCTGCCCTTCTGCCGACGCGATCGGGCGTGTGTCGTTTTGTTTCGCGGGGTCTCTCATCCGGTCTTACGACGAGGCGCGAAATAAAAAAAACTCTTCGATTCCCCGAGTAGAAATTTATCCAGTTTCTGACCAGTAACTGTCCAGAAATTTTTGGTAACTAGCTAGTTTTTAGCCAGTTTTCTTGGCTAGAAACTGACTGGTTTGGTCGACGCTCACTTCATCAAAAACTGAACAGTTGAACTAGACAGTTTCAGATCAGTATTTAACTAGATTTTCATCAGTATCTATTAATTACATTTAACTGTCCATATGTAGCAAATTAGTTTGCTTCTGCAGAAAATTATTTTTTTCCGTGCTGTTACTATGACAGAGTTTTAAAAGCAGAGAAATGGAACTCGATTCGCGCAAAGGAGAATTAAGAATAGGCTATTTTTGGACGGATTGTTGAATGATTTTTGGCTCATTGAGGGATCCAATCATTTAACTATCGTTTGACCAGCAGCTCTGGGGGAAGTTATGAAAATTGAGATTTGTTACTGATTGTTGAAATAGTCATATAAAATTTTTTTAAGCTTTCTTTTTTAAGCTTTCTTTTTTAAGCTATTTTTGATATGCATTTCAAATAAAATCAATTGCATATTTATGTTCGCACAATTAATACAATACGATACGCTGACTCAACCAATTGTTCTCACGCGATGCTTGAGAAGTTATAAATCCTTGAGATGCATCTGGATCGTTTGCATATGAAACGCTGAGAATACAATCAAGCCAAGTCGCAGAAAGCGAGAACTTTTACTTCGTCTCCTTTGAAACTCGACTTGCCTGTGTCTTTCCTCGATGCTCCGTACACGAATACCTTTCGCAAACGACAGACGCGATGGATCTTTTGTCTCTCCGAAGTTCACCGGCGGATAAGGGGAGGTATTTTTATATTGTATACGCGGGAGCGTAAACGTTGCGAAACGAGACGTGGAGTGACGTGCGCGACCACATCCTACATCCCGAGACGTTAATTCATCGTCTATTGGACGGGGATGGAGTAAATAATGCGATAATGGAGCCCTTCAACGAGTTCTCGTATTTTCCCGACGACGAGCCTCGATAAAACCCGAACGCTTTGGCGGAGCGAATACGGCTAGCCGGAAATATCGACGCGGCAAGGTGATTATGGTGAATCTTTTAGAGAGCGGTTAAAGCACCGAATGGTTTGTATGTACCGTAAGAGAGTTGCAAATGGTGTGCGGAAAAAACGTTTGGATAAAATAAAGAGTGCGGCCAAGTGTCCATAGACATTTCGCCCTCCTCAAAAGCTTGGAATATTTCAATTCATGATCTGATTTGAAGATTATATCGAGTAAATTAAGAATATAAAGCCTCGATATTATTCTCGTAGCCACTTGGGAGAAACGGTCCAAAACTTTTGCAATCTCTACATACATTTACACCAGCACATGGCACTTTGCATGTTATCAGAGAATAATATGAGAATAATATTGGGATTTTATATTCTTATACAATCTACTCGTCCTAAGCTTTAAATCGACGTCATTCATCGTTTATTGGAATATTCAAAGTTTTACAAAATCCTAGAGGAAGGGGACGAAACTTGACTCCTTTCGATACTCAATCTGGTTTGAAGTTACTAGAATTCTGTTCGAGTTAACGAGGAATCTTGTTAACTGCAAGTTCTGACTCGTTCGTGTTTCACCAGAAATTTGGTCAAGACAACCAAACTTTTCTTCCCGTGTGCGACAAGCATTTTCTCGTGTAAACGTCGCTCTATTACGCACTTCGCGACATAGCATGAATCGATCTGGAAAATAACGATCTTTGTTTTACCTGACTAAAATGCCTGTGGAATTTTTTCTGTCTCGCGCTGCTGGTAGACGTCGGCGACGACCTCGACGAGGATCTGCTAACCTTTGCTGGAGTCTGCGCGCCACCGCCAGCTGCCATCGATGGTGTGCTCCTACTCAGCGGCTTCGAAAGATGACTGAAAAGGGTGAAAAATACGAGGCTATATTGTCGTCAATGCAAGGAACGAACGTCATTTACTGTGTAAGCTCCTTGTTTTTTAAAGGATTTATAAGTTCAATTTTGGTAAGGGAATAATCATCTGGTTAGTACACACAGGAAAATATTATTATTTTGTTAAGCGGTAATTTTTGAGAAAAAAATTTATCTAAAACACTCAATTATGAGAATGCCTTAGTGATTAATACTTCGAAAAACCTGGTCTTTCTAATAATCTTTCTAGTAGTTAAATGTTTTGCTTGCATCTACGATTCCAAAATAAAATTTTAAAATTAAAAATGTGAACGGTTGTCGCTGGTCGCAAGAAAAGTCAGATTTTTCTAAGATATCAGTGATTAAGGGAATATTAGCAATTGAGTGTTTCACTCTACGGCCTTTATCCTGTACTCTTTTTTATCAATAAAAGTGTCTCTGTGGCTTATAAACCTTATGCTTGCCTTTGAATTGCCATTTAGAGGCACTTTTATCTATAATAAGGGTTTTAGAATAAGAACCAAGGTCCCTAATAAATAAATCGCCATATTCTGTAAGGTACATAGTCACGAATTTTAAGAAACTTTCCACTAGATTCCCAATCTACAAACAAAAACATAAATTTTTGAGCAAAAAGATTGTAGTCTAGTTTTATATCGCGTAAAACGAAGAAATGTAAAATTTCAAAAGATATATAGTACTGGACTATGAATCTACATTAGAATAAGAACGATAAGCTCAAAACAAGCTTGTACACTTTGATTGCTACCGTAAACCGCGTTCTCTCCACTCGTGTTACTACTTTCTTTCTTTCATCATTATTGATGAAGTTTAGGTTTTGTATAGATAGATGTAAGAATAATAATGAAAATGTAGTTATATTTTCTAAAAAGAACTGAAGTTCGTTTTGAAAATTCACTACATTAATTGGCGAGCATAAAAAATCACAACATTTTCACAGACAATCAAGGTTCCTTTATTTATAAAAAAAAAAAAAACTGCTGACTTTAATAATATAGGGTTTTTAAATAATCTTTTGTGTTTTCTCTGAAAAAGTTCTGGTAGATAGACCAAGCACCCTTTCGGAATATGACGATTCAAATAAAGAAGCGGTTCATACAGTTTATTTAAGTACTCCGCGGAGATGCTCCGCTGAGAGATAGCGTTCAGTTTCTTCGGGAAGGTAATGCTCCACACATCGTTGCCCCACATTTCGTACGACTGTATTGAGTTTCTCGAGTCCTTTATTACAAATTTCCGATATCTTCGCCCGAATTTCACTAGTGAAATAAGTGCGAGATAATCAAACGAGGGTATTCCCGTTCACCGACTAACGGTCTATGTGTCAATTGTATCACCAGCGCGTCCGGATTCTGAATTTCTTGATGACGAAATTCGCGTGTCGCGCGGAAGAACTTCTACCCCTCGCGAGGAACAGCGCCAACTAATAACGTCGAACGGATGGTGAAGCCGGAGTCACCGATCGCGCTTTTCGCACGCGAGAATACGCGGTCGACCGGTCGGCGCGCGGCATAATTCTTAACTGATGCATGGCGGGGACCGTCCCCGCGGCTTAACAATCCACTGCCAGCATCGGTGATAACACGTGGGAGAGAGTGGTCGAAGTATCCTCATGATCGGCGTCGATTGAGCAGATCATCGGCGCTTGCAAAAGTACGCGACGATAACCGTGCGTGCGTGATAATGTGCGGCAGATAAGGACACGTTAGATACGTGGAACAGATGAGAAAGGTCTGATGATAAGGCGCGGGAATATCGCTAGAGAGAGAGAGAGAGAGAGAGGGGGAGGGAGGAGAAACATATCGATAGGAATAAATGCAGGTGTGGTGAGTCGACAGGCGCGCCAATTTTTCCGACGTTCTGGTAAACATTCGCGTCCGGATGTGAGACCGGACGCAATATCGTTAAAAAGAAAAAAGAAATTCCTTCCACGCTTCATGCTCACACTAGCACATCGATAAGAGAATGTCGGGAGCGACGTAATTCCTCCGGTGTGTATCTGTTGATTCGAACATTTTATTTTTCGACGTTGTAAACGACAACAAATAAACAAAAGTAATTTTTTCCTCTTGAATATCGAAGTTTGTGTCTATTTTATCGAATCTTAGATTATATCTAGATTTTCAAGTTAATATCTTTACAATCGCGAAGGATTTTTCAAGTCAATAAGCGAACGAGAATGAATAAGACATAGGATGAAAATTGCGGGTGATCATTCCTGCGGGAGGATAATAATGTGTCGACGGCGTTTTTATCATTTGAATTTATCACACTGAGAAGAGATGTTTGAAAATTTATTTGTACGATATAAAGTTCACCTCGGTGAAATACAATTTATTTTTGTGTGAATGAGCTGTATATCTCACAAATCTTCAAATATTTTTTGATAAGTTTTATTATAAGTTTTATTATAAGTTTTATTATAAGTTTTTTTTATAAGTTTTATTGGTTCTACAAATTCTTCGTGATTGAATATTTAAGAAACTTTAATATTAATCGCTAATGTTAACCCTTTTGAAGTAAATATAAATGTGCACATCTTTTGTGAAGAGCAACGTGTTACGAAGAAGAATGTTTCACTTTGCGCAAAGTTCTCTTGTTTCCATTTCTTTCGGAGGCAAAGTGACGTTAATTAAAATTAAAGCTCTTATTTCCTTGTTGAGACAATCTTGATTAATGACATCTGAAGAACGAAACAATACAAAAGTCTTGTCAAATAACAAGGCTTCACACAGAAATAAACTTTATATTTCACAAATAAAATTTTCATGTATTTCCTTCTCAATATAGTAGACAAATCGAATTTTTGTTATAATTAAAAATTTTTGATTAAAATGCTAAACTTATTGGAACTCAGAATGTATCTTGAAGATTACATAAGCATTAATAAATTTAAATGCTTATGATAGAATTTCGGATATATAAACTTATGAAATATCTGACACAAGTAACACTTACTTGAATGTAATGTACATAAGAATGCATAGGCTTTTCTGTTTAATGTTCCGTACACAGAAAAAAGATAATTAAAAATTTATTTATGAGACATAAAGTTCACCTCATATAAACTTTTTTATTTCACAGAAACAAATTTTATATCCCGCGAATAAATTTGCAACTATTTCTTTTCAGTGTATCGAGACAGTTGCATCTCGCAAAAAGTAATTTTACGGGATAATCGACGGAACAAACGACGTCACGCTTTGTACGGTAATGGCCGTTTGTATGGTAATGGAACATTGGATCAGCTATTGCGAGAATGGCAGCAAAACATTCGCATGTGTGATTGAACCGTTTCAAAACACAATTCTATTCTCAGTGCGATTTAACGCCGCAAGTGTGACGTCTGACTATATCCCGTTTTAGCACTAAACACACGGCAAAAATATCGGTCTACCTCGAGTCCCTCCAGTTTCTTTCGAGTCGATTTGCCACGCGCGCGCGCACGAAAGAAAGAGGGAAAGAGGGAGAGAGAGACAAACTACATGGAAAAAAATTTGGTTACATTAACAAATTTTTGGTAAAATATAAACGAACCACAGATCTTATTAACTTGGACAGCATTCTAGTAACTTCAACCGAAATTTCTGGTCCGTTCATATTTTGAAATTTGTTTGATTCAACCAAAACATTTTTTTGCTGTTTAGTTTCGTAGATTTTATCTTATCCGTTAAAATAATCGATACGCGGTATTTCGGTACATCTGGCATTAATTGCCGCCTCATTTCAAATTTATCCTTCCTTGATATTTACACTGCGTCACTCTGTCCAATTATATCGTTGAAACCATTCAAACGTTACGAGTAACGTCAGTGAACGGTGATATTGGACGCAAGAAGTTGCTGTGTTGCTAGTTACTGTAGTGACTAGGATGTGCAATATATCGCATAACAATTTTGTATCGCAAATATGATTTTAGATTGCGCGCAATTTTATACCGCAAGTGTGATTTTGAATCGCACGCGATTTTATATTTGACACGATTTTTAATCATAAGAGAACTTAGGACATGAAGGAAACCGTAACAAATATTAAACATGTTAAAAATAAATCAATCAACTATTTGTTCGTACTAAATATATCAAATTATTCTTCGAAATGTCCACTATAAGAAAACACAAGTTTTAGTGTCAAAGAATAGTTAAAAATGAAAGCATAATGAAATTAAATATTTTTTTAAAAACCACTTAATTTCATTACGTTTTCTCGGAGGAGCAAAATGGGAGACAAAACTTGTTTATTATTAATTTATTATTACTAATTTTCAAATGTTTTTAAAAGTAACTTATTACATGTTTCATTAATTATAATTATTTATTAAAATATTTATCATAAAAATAATAAGACTACCTTTTTTTACTAAAATATTAATGACAATCAGTATTAAATATAGCAATTTTTGGAAATTTTCTGAAACATATATAAAAAATATATATAAATCATATATAAAAAAAATTGTGCAAACTTAACATTTTAAGACTATTATAGTAGCATATGTAATCTCATTATGCCTCTAAATGTATAAGTTTGGATTTGATAGTATAAAATATCATATACTGTCGCGAGATTTTTGCACAAATACCTCATTAAAATGATGAGTGATTTTGAATTGCAGGTGCGATTTTGAATCGCAAGCACGATTTTGCGATAAAGATCAATTGTGTATTGTGATTCAAGAAAAGAAAATCACAATGCTTGCGATATATCGCAAGATTGCACATTTCCAGTAGAGACCTCCTGCTTTCTGGTAGACGAGTTAATTCCGCGCCTTATCTCTCTGGCGAAAAAGCAACATCTTATTTTTCACGATGATTTCTCTCGCTCTATCTCTCCTCTCCGCGATCCCCTTCTACGTTGTGTGCCCAGGTGTGTAGCATTATCAGCGAAGCGTATCGATAATTTTCGAGAAAGCTGATAGCGCGAGATTCCGCACATGACTTATCTCGCGGAAGCAAAGGTACAAATAGATTCGGCGTTAATTATATCGTTCAAAAGGCAATGCAAAGTCGCACGTGCTTGTACCTTCCGGAAAAGAATTTAAACGAGACGATTCGACTGACAAGTAAACCTTGTACACCAAAAGGTACACTCCGCTTTCTTTCTAATTTGGCACAAATGTAGAAGTACAAAAAATATTTAGGCTATATTTTTTCATTTTGGCCTACTTTGAGTTTCATGGGCAGTTTATAGCTTTTTAATGTTTCCATTCCTATCATCAACAAATGCAATAAAAATGCATAAGAAATAAAATTGAATATATATATATATATATATATATATATATATATATATATACAAGGTGTTTTAATAATAATAAAATTTATTATTAATAAAATTAAATATAGGCGTTTTTGGTTTGCTGATTATGAATATGAAGTCAAATGTGTAAAATTATTTGTATAAATAACAAAATGTTTAAACATGTAAAACGTTAAAAAAAATATAAAAAGTTAAAAGTTAAAAAAAATTATTTCTACAAATAATTTCTCGGTTTGGCCGAGTTCGAACCATTTTTGACTAATTTAGCACAGATTTGAAATATTTTGGTTGGAATCTCGGCTAAAGAAAAAATATGAACTAAATAATTTTTGTACTTCTATATTTGTGCTAAATTAGAAAGATATCGGAGTGTAACTTTTGGGTAAGTTTACTTGAGTAGGTTTACTTGGATAGGTTTACTTGTGAAAAGATTACCGTTGGATTCGGTAATGCAATGTATTTGCGTCGAGATTGCAGATGTTAAAATATTTCCGTTCAAGATTAAAGATAGATGTAAAGTGGAATATATTTGCGTTGCAAAGTTCACTAGATTTCAATGACTTTTTCGGCGGTGACCTGGCCGCTTTTTGCGCAAGACGTTGGCGACGATAACGATTCAGTGATTACTCAGTTAATTAACACTAAGAACTATCGACAGTTATCGATCTATTTCTACGAGGCCAATACAACATGTCTTTGGAAAAACATGCGATGTAGAGGAAAAATATTTATTTTATTTTATGGTTTTATTTAATATCAATTAAAAGTATAAAATATACCGTGGTAAATTTAAGTAATTTTTTTGAGGAATTACAAACGCGTCATTTTTCGATTGCTTTGATAGTTATTAATTAGTTAGTAATTTGTTTTCACTGTATCTTGGAAAAAAGATTTTGTTGTCGAAAATTTGGTACATTGGACCATAAAATAGGATCAAATATTTGTTAATAGCATCTAAAACATTTAATTACCGCTACGTTTCGCTTTCTCAATAATGTATCTATTTAATACACGATAAAAACACGTAATGCTAATCAAATCGTAGGTATTATATTATATTTTAGTTCCAAATAATAATACAAAATAATAATACAAATAATAATACAAAAATAATTTTTTCAGTGTAAATACGATAAAATCAAGTTTGACTCCAAAATGACTTCAAAATCTCTTGATTAACTCAATATTTATCTTATAAGATCAAAGGTATACTTGTATATATATACTAATCTTGTAAATATAAAGATATTTATATGATCAAAAACACTTTCACGAATTCGAAGTGTTATCCGAATTCGGGAATGGTTCCATTAAAAATTATGGAATATGATGTAGTAGCCATATTTAGTCTCGGTCTACAATAAATGCCTCGAGGCCTGAGTCTTAAGAAATTGACCAGTCATCACACCCGATTATTCTCCTTACATTTGACTGTGATTGATTAATTTGATCGTGATTGATCAGTTGTTTAGGGCCTGAATCACCTGTTGTAGACCGAGATTAAGGCCAGGTCTACAATAGATGTAGTAAGCCTCTTGCTCTAAGCCTGTGACGTAATTTTTGGCTAAAATAGTTTCCCAACGCTGTCTGAAGTCGTAATCCCTAAACTTTAAGCGAGCTGGCCATATTTCGGACGTTAAGGTAATGCTTTTTGTAAAAAATTAAGCTTATAGACTTTGAAGCAAAAGGCTAAAGGCTTACTACACATATTATAGACCGAGACTAAAGGATGTGTGCGCGAATGAGTGTGAAAGGAGCTTTAAGCGGATGTAGATATGAAAGACCCCACCTGTCGTTACATCTCAAGGCCGCGTGACTGGGACTCCTCGGAGGTTGAGGGTAGCCGGCGCCAGCCACGGTGAGCTGGGATCCGCTGATCGATTGTTGGCCCGCGGCTTGCGGCCCATCGGGGGCAGCTTGCAGGGGCGTGCTGGGTGCCGATCGCGCGCCTATGGACCCCGCAGACCTGCAAATTAAAGTAATGGGATCAAGTAAGCAAAGAAAGTTGGACGCTCATGCAAGGCGCTAAAAAATTTAATTACCGCTACGTTTCGCTTTCTCAATAATGTATCTATTTAATATACGATAAAAACACATCACACTAATCAAATCGTATGTACTATATTATATTTTATTTCCAAATAATAATACAAATAATAATACAAAAATAATGTTTTCAGTGTAAATACGATAAAATCAAGTTTGACTCCAAAATGACTTCAAAATCTCTTGATTAACTCAATATTTATTTTATAAGATCAAAGGTATACTTATATATATATATATTAATCTTGTAAATATAAAGATATTTATATGATCAAAAACACGAATTCACGAATTCGAAGTGTTATCAACGGCAATGAGCCTAACATTGCGCCGGTTAAATTGCTCTTCAGTGAAACAAGAATTTGCAACATTCCTTGCTCGTGTGGCAAAATCTACATAGGAGAAACTGGGAAGATGGTTAACGCACTCTTAAAAGAATATCAATCTGCAGTCAGGCTAATACATATAATACAATGAGCGCTATCAAAATTAGTTTGGGTATTCATTTATTTCAATTGATTACACTAATTGGTGAATCAATAATCAAAATGTCTCAATTATTATACATGTAATTATGAATAACCTAATTGATTGATGATTATTATTTATTAATGAGTTGATGAATTAATTATTAATGAGTTAATGAATTAATTATTAATGAGTGGATAAGTTTGATTAATAATTAATTTCATTAATCGATTTGATTAATCTCTATTACATATATGACGACTGGTTAATTTTGGTTATTGATTTGCTGATTATCTAATTAAAATTTTTATACATTAATGGCCAATCCTGAATAGCACGTAAGATAGAAACAGGACGCAAAATCCTATTTAACCATCAGTTCTAGCTAAATCCAACCTACTTCTCTAGAAAATACATATAATCCTGGGAAATTATCTCGACAAACATCTCGACAGTCTCAGTAGAGACAGCGAGCTGTCCTTTTGGATTTGGCAATCCATCCTCGCGGTTCTATGAGGTTCCAGGAAAATCTATAAAATCCCTTCTTCTTTACATCCTTAATTAATTATTCTTGATTAAATGATTATTCAAGTTACACACGCGTACGACAGTACCTTGCTCTGGTGAGCGGGACGGAAGTGAAGCAAAGGTCGATCAACGCTCGAGTTTCAAACTCCATCATCGTTTCCGCGAGGATGACGACCGTGATGACGACCGATATCGGCGGGATATCGTGATCTCCCTAGGATATTTCCTGCCTCAAAGGATATCGAATTGACACAGCTTCAACGGCGGTTGCCAATCAGTCGACAATCGACGTGAGCTCGATTGAACGAAAATTCACAGATGTCGAGAGTCCTCGATAAAAAATACTCGTTATCCAAGGACGCGCGAACGTCAGCTGTACAATCACATAACCACAACGACGACGATGACGACAACGACGATACTCTTCTCGGCGACGCGAAAGATACGGATGATCGCGTAATGTTGTAAGGTCGACGCGATGTCACCTTATCTGGCTTATCGTTCGACCTGGACTATGATAGAGCACGGATCAAGGAGACAGCAAAAGGTGATAGTTGATAGGTGAGAATAATAGAAACAGTAGCAATCAACGCTACGTCGAGCCTGAGCGTTGGTTGCTCGCCAACTTTTGCGAGAATGAAAAGAGAGATATGAGGATAAAGAGCGGCAACGGGAGAAAAACCTCTCTTGCACTAGGCGAGAGAGAGAGAGAGAGAGAGAGAGAGAGAGAGAGAGAGAGAGAGAGAGAGAGAGAG